ATTTGTAATTTTCTATACATATAGGCACTTCTAAAATTGAGTTACAGCCAGGGAGGATTTATTTTGCTTTGGTTAGCTCCACATAGTTAAAGGAAGAGGCAGGTGCACTGCCCAATCACCCCTTTGACTAGACATGCTAAACTATACTGTTTTAATAAGCCTTAGAATTAATCTCATATTTATTTAATGTAATTTTAATTATTATGTGTATGCTTCTAAAAAATTTTCATTAATACATGCACTTTCTTCTGTGTGTTTCCTTCAAGACACACACTACATTGATATATGGAGCATGCAGTCTCTATATATTCAGAGATGTTACTTTGTTGCATCAGTCGGCCTTTATTTTCTATCCTAATAGTGTGTGAAAATTTGTTATTCTTTTCTGTGTAGTCACATTTGGCACAATTATTAAAACTGTCCTCACCTTTGAAAATACCCTGGAATTTGTGTTCATATATACACCCCACTTTTTTTTATCAGTGGTAAAAAACAGATATACATAAGATTGATCGTCGGACTTCCGGTTTCCGGTCCTTGCGTTCCACCCTTGGAACGCACTGCCGTCGTATATCAAATGCCGATCTCTCATAACTTCCGATTCCTGCGTTCCACGATTGGAACGCAATACAAAGTTCCCCTGAAGTCTCTTATTTGGAACGTTTTAACGTTCCACTTTCTATATCCAGTCTTTATATAGCAGCTCTATGTGTAGAGACATATTTATATACAAAACTTAAAACATAAAGCAGTAAAAGGGAATGTAGTATCCTATACATGGTATAAGGAGAAAAAGAGCTAATACAAAATACAAGATGTATATAAAAAAAGGGAAAAAGAATATATGTAAAAAATATATGTCTAAAAAATATATATCTATAAAATATATATATAAAAAAAAAAAATATATAAAAAAAGGATTAATAATGGTAATATATACACCCCACTTTTTTTTATCAGTGGTAAAAAACAGATATACATAAGATTCATCGTCTATCTAAAAGGGCAATACTATAACTAAAATATGTAAACCAGCATGGTATAACATGTAGATATAGAGAGTAATCCTTTGCATATGGAAGAAAAAAAAAAAAAAAAACCACACTAAAAATTGCATATTTTTTTAAACCAGTGGATGCTAACGGGTATATAGAAAGAAATAGTTGCCACCATAACCCGTGGCTGGAGAACGCACCAAGAGGCCAATTTCTAAGGATTCGAAGGAACTGTAAAAAAGAATCCGATTATATAGAACAGGCCAAATATATCGAACAGCAATTTATAGAAAAAGGTTACAACAAAGAAATTTTAGAAAGAGACATGAGAGAAGTGAAAGAAATACCAAGAAAAGAACTCATAAAATATAAATCTAAAAAAGAGCAAGGAACCAGCAACAATATACCCTTTATCTGTAATTACAATGGACGGAACAAACAAATAAGGAAAATAATCAGAAAACACTGGCATTTGTTACAAGATGATCCTATCCTTAATAAGATTTTACAGCCGGAGCCCAAAATTATCTACAGAGGTGCAAAGAATTTTAAGAACATTTTAGTTAAGAGTTGCCTTAGCCCCAAAAAACCTAGTCATTTTTTAGAGGACCTAAAAGGCTTTTATGGATGCGGGATGTGTTTGCCCTGTAGGACAACTAAAAGTAAAAAAAGACACCTGAAAGATATAGGACACATTGTAATAAAACCCTATTGCATAAAGGACCACCTAACCTGTCACACAAAAGGTATCATATATATTTTGAAGTGCCCATGTGATCTTTTATATGTGGGCAGAACAATTAGACCATTGAAAGTAAGGATTGCGGAACACATTAGAAACATTAGAAATGGACTAGAAACACATAGTGTTCCCCTTCATTTTAAAGAAATGCATGATCAGGATCCCAGTAATTTATTCTTCTGTGCCATTAAGGAGGTTAAAAGGGATTGGAGGGGTGGAGACTATATTAGAAAATTAGGAAAAGAAGAAATGAAGTTTATCTTCGAGTTTAATTCTTTAGCCCCGTATGGTCTTAATGTCGACTTTGAAATATGCCATTTTTAGTGTGTTGCATATGCAAAGGATTACTCTCTATATCTACATGTTATACCATGCTGGTTTACATATTTTAGTTATAGTATTGCCCTTTTAGATAGACGATGAATCTTATGTATATCTGTTTTTTACCACTGATATATATCAGTGGGGTGTATATATTACCATTATTAATCCTTTTTTTATTTTTATTTTTATTTTTTTTTATATATATTTTATAGATATATATTTTTTAGACATATATTTTTTACATATATTCTTTTTCCCTTTTTTTATATACATCTTGTATTTTGTATTAGCTCTTTTTCTCCTTATACCATGTATAGGATACTACATTCCCTTTTACTGCTTTATGTTTTAAGTTTTGTATATAAATATGTCTCTACACATAGAGCTGTTATATAAAGACTGGATATAGAAAGTGGAACGTTAAAACGTTCCAAATAAGAGACTTCAGGGGAACTTTGTATTGCGTTCCAATCGTGGAACGCAGGAATCGGAAGTTATGAGAGATCGGCATTTGATATACGACGGCTGTGCGTTCCAAGGGTGGAACGCAAGGACCGGAAACCGGAAGTCCGGCGAGCCGGCATTGCAGAGAGAAGGAGAAAAAAAGCGGCAATGAAAGGCTTTTTAAACGAAGAACAATTTGGGAACATTTACAGCAACTGAGGAAGCCCCTTGAAGGGGCGAAACGCGTTTTGCTACTAAGACCACTAAGACTGCTCAACAGAGTTTGTAAGGTCTCTTAATATTCGTTTTATTTTTGTTTATATTAATAAATGTTATTTTATTTCACCTGTGAGTCTGTGATTACCCTGCATAAGGAACTTGGAACACAGAGGAGGGAGTAGGACCCTTTACATCCCACAAAGTGAATGATTTGAGCCCAAACTTTGGTGGCTCCATCCTTGTGAGTTTGCATTTGTCAAGACCTTATTGAATTTGCATAATTAAGAGTACAAGCAATATTGCACTATTTTCTGCTATTTTATTCTTTTTAGAGTATACTGTATGAAATATACTTAAGCAAAGGACTACTTGAAAAGTGCATGTAAGATACTCCACCCTATACCTTGTCGTGTCTATAACTCTTTATTGGTGAAGGTTAAGGGAACCCCACCAAGGTGTTAGAGTTTCTTACATATTTGCATTAAGCACATATTGGGTCACTGTTATTTATTTATTTTTTACCTCTGCTAAAAAGGCTGAGAAACTCTGGTGTAGAAAGTGAGGGGTGTAGTTAACAAAGTCTGGATACATTCACTTTACTGTCGCTGTTAGTTAATATTATGTTTTACTATGTAATATATTTATGTGTGGTCCTGTTTCCTGCTTTGTGAATTAGAGATGGGGCACATGAGATAAAACCCCAAATATATTTAGTTTTTTTGAATCTAGAGCTAATTCTAGGAGTCCCTTTCTTTTCCAAAAATACTTGCTTTTAGTCCTTTTGAAGATTTGCCCCCATACTGTGACCTTCCCTAACTGTACATCCAGCTGTCTCAAAACTGTAGAGTGGTAAAGTACTTTTAATTTAAAAAAAAAGGTAATACACTATTGAAAAAAACATACACAGTGATCTAGCCTTTAGCAGAACCAGGCATCACTTATATCAAGGGTTAGATGGTGGTGGATTATGCTGGCAGAAGTCATCTTATTTTTTTTCAGAAATCTAGCTATTAATGTTCTGATGACCTTCATATATGGTTTTCATTTAAAGGGCAGTTCAAAAGTTAGACCCCTTGCAAATCATTATCTTTTCTTTTACTATGCAGAAAGGTCTTCATTTAAATAAATTTTTAAACTGGTCTGATTAGTTATTTTTGCAAATTAAAATGCTGGTTTAAAATCTGAAATAATTTAATTATGCACATTGTGAAATTATTTTCTAATCTATACCTTTAAAAGACTGTGTATGCCTAAGTACAGTAAGTAGCCAGATAGTTTTCATAGTTTATGAATGAAGGAAAACATTATTAGATTGGCACCTTGTTTGTAACTATAATATTAGCCCCCAAAAAACACAATTCTTTCATTTCTAAAATAATTTTGAACATATGAGTATTTATTTCTGAAGCTCTTTCATTTTTAGTTGATCGAAAGCAATCAAAAATAGACTTAGAATGTAAATAATGTTGCAAATGCAATACAAGTTTTCCATTCTTATCAATATATTATGATTATAAAAAAACATGAATACACAGCAATTAGAGACTACTTTCAGTTCTATTACAATTTGATTTACTATACTTAATTCTCTACAAAAATTATTTTACTTTTGCCAAAATACATTCCAGTTTTCTTTGCTGAAATCAGCAAAGTAGTTTAAAAATATGGCAGATGCCAATGTTGCACTTTTAAATAAGATTCATATTTCTTAATTTCATTGGTTTCTATGGCAACCCATTACCCAAAGTATTTGCTTTTTGAGCCAAATTTGTAAAAAGCCTATAGTTTTCAACATTTTCGATATTTTAAACATATTTCTTTAAGATGAATGACTAAACATGAAAACATATTATTATCACAATGCTATGTATTGTCTCTCTTAATGCCAATGAAACAAAAACCCACATATTTTTTTTAAATAATACTTTTATTTCATAAAATTACAAAAATATAAATTTACATATATAAAAAATAGCATAGATACACAGACATTCAAGATTAATAAATAATGCAGTAAATAATATTTAAGTTTTTTACAATCTTTTTTGTATTTTTATGTGTTTTTAATTTAATTTAGATGCATACTTTTATCAATTTAAATGGGGACAGAACAACAAAAGAGAAAATATTTTGTTAAAGGCACAAACTTTTTTTACCATCTTTAATATTGATATTGTACATAATTTGCTGATGATACAAAAATATGTAACAGGGTTGATGTTCGAGGAGGGATAAGCCAAATGGCAAATTATTTAGGTAAACTAGAAAAATGGTCAGAGTTGTGGCAACTGACATTTAATGTGGATAAGTGCAAGATAATGCATCTTGGACGTAAAAACCCAATGGCAGAGTACAGAATATTTGATAGGGTCCTAACCTCAACATCTGAGGAAATGGATTTAGGGGTGATTATTTCTGATGACTTAAAGGTAGGCAGAAAATGTAATAGAGCAGTAGGAAATTCTAGCAGAATGCCTAGTTGTATAGGGAGAGGTATTAGCAGTAGAAAGAGGGAAGTGCTCATGCCATTGTACAGAACACTGGTGAGACCTCACTTAGAGTATTGTACGCAGTACTGAACACTATTTCTCCAGAAGGATTTTGCTACTTTAGAGAGAGTTCAGAGAAGGGCTACTAAACTGGTTCATAGATTGCAGGATAAAACTTACAAGGAAAGTTTAAAAGAACTTAACATGTATAGCTTGGAGGAAAGACGAGACAGTGGGGTATGATAGAAACATTTAAATACATAAAGGGAATAAACACAGTAAAGGAGAGACTATATTTAAAAGAAGAAAAACTACCACAACAAGAGGACATAGTCTTAAATTAGTGGGGCAAAGGTTTAAAAATAATATCAGGAAGTATTTCTTTACTGAGAGTGTAGTGGATGCATGGAATAGCCTTCAAGCTGAAGTGGTAGAGGTTAACACAGTAAAGGAGTTTAAGCATGCGTGGGATAGGCATAAGGCTATCCTAACTATAAGATAAGGCCAGGGACTAATGAAAGTATTTAGAAAATTGGGCAGACTAGATGGGCCGAATGGTTCTCATCTGCTGTCACATTCTATGTTTCTATGTTTCTTTCAGCACGTGTTCATATGAAATGATCATAAGGTTGCATCATATTGTTATCACAAATTAAATTGACTTTATTAACAAATCAACTATACAGCTACAGTACATACTGTTGGGAGGTATGATTAATTTATATTTGTTTATTCTGGCTACAAATTGTACGTATCTTTAAAATATGTACTCAGTCACTTTCTTCTCCACCATACATATCTGCAAGTTTTTTAAATTGAGGTCCCCAGTCAGTAAGATAATGATAATCGTGATTGTCATCAACATCAATTGATTCCAAAGAGCTTAATGACTCTGCAACAGAATTATTACCTTCATATGCATATGTTGCAAGAGAATCATATGGTGGAGCAGTTGTATCTACATCATTTTCCTTTATTCTTCTCTGAATAAAATCATGTATGTTTATATTTTCCAAAAGAGGAATTGTTCTTCTTATTTGAAATATGGTGTCAGGAATAATATCTCTTCTAAATCTATTCTCTTCTCTTGCTTCTGGATTCCTTAAAGTACCAATGTCAAATGCATGGGTATCTTCTTCTCCCCCTCCTTCATCATTGTATGTCACAACATTATCACGCACATCATCTTTTGAAATCATTAAGGATGCCTTTTTCCTTTGTCTTTTTAATGCCGTAAAAAGGAACACTAAAGCTTAAAAAAGAAAAAAGGAATCATATTCAATATAATTTACAGATATGCATGGATAAATATATGTATGTATTCATTATTTATCTTGTATTATTAGACCAATAATAGTACCATAAATTAATTGAATGTCAATGTAATCTAATATTTACATTGGTTGTCTTTCACCTAGAATATGATAGAATTTAAAAACTAGTTAAAAATACAAAATAAAGCAAGACCTATAATAAAATAAATCAAATATTTGAAATGTTAAAGAAAGATAATATCCATATTGTAAATATTTGAATATAGTAGATACTAAAATATAAATATGACTGAGGTATGTGAACCATTAACAATAAATATATATATCATACATACACACACCATAGATCAGGAATAGGCAACCTTCGGCACTCCAGATGTTGTGGACTATATCCCCCATAATGCTCTTACACCCATAATGTTGGCAAAGCATCATGGGAGGTGTAGTCCAAAACATCTGGAGTGGCGAAGGTTGCCTGTACCTGCCATAGATCAGGTCCTCCCTTAAGTAGAGGAGGGACAGATTAAGAGTTCTTCTTCAGAGAAAAACCTTCTGGATTAGGATTTTGGATACAGATTAATTATGCTCTGACGGGGTTTCCAGTTTATGATGCCCTTGACACTTTTTCAATTATTCTTATTACTTAGTATTATTTTGCTACAGAACATATAGTAGTATATTTTTTTACAACAGTGACTTATGCTGTAGTTTTCGTTATTTACTTTTATTTTAAGAGCCTTTTTGATCTTATTAATGAAATAACAAATAATTTTCAAGAGCCCTGGGGCGCATACCCTACAATACTTACACCCATCCAAGATTAAGAACTGCTTCTGTAGTATTTGTTTGCCTACAGTTTGTTTTAATCTGCTATCTATTCATCTTATATTGCTGTTGGAGGAAAGAACTAAAAACAAAACATACTAAGCAGGAAAAATTAGAGCCCACATCCATTTTAGGGACAGCCACTAGAGGCACATCTGCGATGCTGGATGCATATTATGCCTCCATCACACAGAGCGTCCATAGGAAAGCATTGAAAAATGCTTTCCTATGGACAGCTTGAATGCGCGCGCGGCCCTTGCCGCGCATGCGCATTCGGCTCCGCTGACGTCGGCGGGGGAGGAGAGGTCACCAGTGTCGAGAGAGCCCGGCGCTGGAAAAAGGTAAGCTGCTGAAGGGGTTTTAACCCCTTCAGACAAGCGGCAGGGGGACCCTGAGGGTGGGGGCACCCTCAGGGCACTATAGTGTCAGGAAAACCGCTTAGTTTTCCTGACACTATAGTGATTCTTTAAGTCTATATGTACGGGAGATCAGGAATTATCTTCAAATTGAGTTTCTGCTTAGATAGTTGGAAAGGCACAGCTACATCTTTGGGAAAATAACAGGATAGACAACACTTTGGGCCTTGGGAAAGTAAATCACATTTACATATCAATTGAGCTAAATTCAGGTTAATACTTTAATGGACTAATCAATATATATATAATATATGCTTTTCCTGCTGATACTCCAGATTAACCAGCAGTTTCTGTCACTATCTCTGATTGTACTTCTGTTACACATTTGCAATTTTTCTTAGTAGCAACCAAGTGATACATTTGTTGCTAACCTGCACCATTAGTTTGGGTGTCAGACAGAGATGCAAACTGAAATCTAGGAGCATATATATATATATATATATATATATATATATATATAAAAAACAAAAATAGTAATGCACTCCACCTTCCTTGATGTACTTGCCCGGTGCTTATCAGCAAACAGATACAGCCAAAAGTACAAGATAGCACTTCCTGATGAAAGTCTGTGATACAGACTGAAACGTTGATTTTTATTTTGAGCTAATAAAAGCTAAGTTTTATTCATTCAACTTGGAAGTCCCTGGAGTGTTATCTTGTACTTTTGGCTGTATATATATATATATATATATATACATATTTTTCTATCTCTTTTTTTTCTTTTCTTTTTCCTGTAGGGTCTATCTATTTATAGATTCTTTGCACGATAGAACCTTATTTTCACTGTGTGAAACCTTGAGATATTATTCTCTTTTAAATACAAGAATAAAAATAAGTTTTTAAATTTTATTATTTTGCATTTGTTATTATTTTTTTCATATATAGATATCTGTAGGCAATGTTCTAGTTCGCTCTAAACAGATATTATTAGATAGATGGAATGTGTGAGTGTTATGAATGTATTGTAACTCTGTAATACTATAACTCTATAACATTCTTCTTCTGTAATATTTAACTGGGCAGATTCTAAGTAAAGTTTTCTCTCTGGTAAGAACTACGGTGTTGGCTGTTTAATTGTAATACCGGGTAGAACACCTTAGTAGTGCTAGTCATATATTTATCTGGACAAGGGGAAAAAGATATACGTTAGTTCTTGGAAGAGGTGACAGAGGGATATTACATTCACTATTAATACACAACACATAGTGGGTTTCCCTCAAAATAATACCAATTGGAGGTATTGGTGGTGAGAGAAGAATTATACAACATATACAACAGCTTTAAGAGAACAATTAGGAAAAGATGCAAATCCAGTGAACCACTCATGGACAGCTATTTCATTGTTAATGTTTGGGAAGCAAAAAACAAAAAGTTTATGGTGGGAAAAAAATTGTGATTGAAAACCCCTTCCACCTGAATTCTGTGAATACTTAATACAATGTTAAACAAAAATCTGCATACCAGTCAAGCCATAAGACTTGCTTTTCCCACAGAAATCACAAATTTGCAGTGGTGTTACTACCGCAAAGGGGAGGAGTTTTCAATCACAATTTTTTTCCCCACCATAACCTTTTTGGGTTTTGCTTTCCAAGCACTAACAAGCCTCAATAAGCAAACCGGTAACCAATATCATGCTGATGATTTGCATTAACAATGAAACAGCTGTCCATGAGTGGTTTACTGGCATTGCATCTTTTCCTAGGTTTCAAAGCCGTTATATACAGCAAACACAGACTCAAAGGAATCCATGTTTAAAATGGAATGAGGCAAAAATTTGATTCTTTGTTGAACTAATTTGCATATGCCCACCCAGAATCATTTGCAGTAGTAACATAACTGCAAATTTGTGATTTCTGTTGGGAAAGCAAGTATTTTGGCTTGACTGGTGTGCAGATTTTTGTTTCACATTGTATTAGCTGTCTACAGACTTCAGGTGAATGGGGTTTTCAATCACAATTTCTCCCCACCATAACCTTTTTGGTATTTGATCCTGAGGAAAGTCCACGAGGGGGACTGAAACGTCTATCCTATTTTAACATAAATTTAATAAAGAATTGAAGATTTTATCTACAGACCGTGAGTGCAGCTAAAGTTTGTTGCTATCTATATGTATATAAATTATGTCAAAATGATATCTAACCATGTGCCTATCTCATCCACTGCACATGAAAAAAATCTCTCCACTGGAGTACCAACACTTTCTAGAGACACATTGATGGCATAATGCCAGTTTACATGAATCAAGCCACATATACACAGAAAAATGAAACAATTATGTTGTAAATCATACTCATGCTCTAAGAAGGCACAGGATAAAGCAAGTCTACTTAATCTCTTGTGTAGCAGGTATAGGATCTCTATTAAAATGAAAAAAAAAAAACACACCAAATAATAATTCATACCTGCTTTACTCACACACTAACAAATACATGTGCATATTTTTGTATTATACATTATATTCTGTTAAAGTAATTATTCAATTTATTAAAGCATTCCTGTTTCAACATATTCATAAAATAATATATTTATAATTTAATGCTTAATAAGAAAAAGCACTATTGATAATCTAACATGCAACATCCAGCACAAGTACAGGAAAAACAGCAGATAGCAGTACCTATTACTAGAGCAGCCAGACATAAAGAAACACTATAGGATTAGGAACACAAACATGTATTCCTGACCCTATAGCTATAAAACACTATCTAGTCCTCCTGCCCCCCAGGGCCGGACTGGCCCACCGGGATACCGGGAAAGCTCAATGAATGTCAGTGGACGGCGTGAGGTGCAAACAAATGGTCATATTGTGAAAACTATCAGGACTATGACTTAGCCGTGGACATTTCTAGTGGCAGCAGTGATAGCTGAACGTTGTGATATAAGATTTGTGTAGGTGGGCCTGAAAATAAGGGAGTGGTGGCAGTTTAGAAACCATGTCCTGATTTTTCAGCTTTTGCCAGCTCCCACTCTAGTTTTGAACATTTTGCCATTCATTCCTATGGGACAAATTTCGCCACAAGAACGATGATATTCCGTGAACCATTCGGCGAAACGTTCCACAAAGTAATAGCAATCTGATTGGGAACAATCTGCACGTTTTGGTAAATTTTTGTCTATGTAGTGTAAAAACTGTGGGAGGAGTTAGGGTGTCAAATTTGGCTATAATAAGAATAAGAATAATATATATGTGAGATAACATTAAGTGGTCTTGCTATGCAAGAACACTTAATTACAGCCTGCTGCTGCTGGCTCAGCTCCTGATCTGCCTGCTTCTTAGCCAATCACAATGCTTTCTCAGAGGAAAGCACTAAGTTGGCTGAGCTTGTCAAGGAGGCAGATCGGGAACAGAGCAGCACAAGCCAAACAGCCCTGGTCAATCAGCATTTCCTCTGGACGAACCTCTAGTAGCCATCTGTGGAGTGGCTACTGGTGGTATCCCTAGGACATAATGTAAATACTGCATTTTCTCTGAAATGACAATGTTTACAGCAAAATGCCTATAGGGAATGATTACACTCACAAAAACAAATACAGTTACCTGTAGTTGTTCTGGTGACCATAGTGTCCCTTTAATTTGCAAAGAATAAGATATAGATATGTCAAATAATAGGCCATGGTTAAATAAATTAACAAGCCAAGGTCTGGGACACAGAGAACAGAGTAGTAAAGACAATCCAAGAACAATAGCCAGTAATCAGAGTACAGAGAAAATGCGCTCTTGGATAACCAAAGTGGAAACCATGACAGGGCACTAAACATAAGTATATCTCAAGTATTTATAGGCCTGGAGTGTTTTTTTTGATTGCTGTGTTCCTACAATGTGAATGGGCATCAGTAATGATGTCACAGAGAGGGTGTGGGTGACCGATGTCATTAAAAGGGCCTGCAACATCCGGCTTTAAAAACACTGATAAAGGTGTCTGAGGGTGTGAATCTGATGAGATGCCTACTTGGAGAGATAGGGGCACCAGGTGACTGCCATAATGCAAGTGTATGTATTCTTACAGCTTGTTTGTTTTTTTTTATTAAAATATTCTTACCAATTTACTAATTCAAAAACTTTACATATTATATATGTTGTGTAACATTTAATGCACTTACTGAGAAGAATTGTGATACATAATAAAATTGCGATTAGTGCACCAGTGCTGAGTCCGGCAAGCAGTAAGTAAGCTTCTGCATCACATGATTGTACGTTCCCTTTTCTGTCACAAGCACACACTCTTATGGTCAATGTTCCAGTACTGCTTTGGACTGGATAATCATTGTCAAAAATGATAATAGGTAGAACGTAGATGCTTGTTTTATGTCTATTGTATCCATTTTTTTTTGTCAAAATGCTTGCTGTATTGTCTGGAATTTAGATAAAACAAGAAATGGTTAATCATGTTTTGTAAATAAAATGATCAAATTACTTCTGTTAGCAAACTGTAAAGAGCAAGTTTTGTTTACCTCTATTATCTATAACTGTGAAGTTTGGGTTCATTGAAAATTCTTGCACCATTTCAAAGAAGAATGTGTGTCCCCGAGAGGGTTCATCCTTGTCTGCAGCGCTTATTGTTTGAATTAGCTGTGAAGAAAAGAAAAGAAAAAATTACAAAATGAAAAACTCATACACTAGAGGAACTTCTGCCAAATGCTAAGGTATTATATTATACATACAGAATTGACACAAACTTGACTAGCAGGTTTTTGTGTATAATCAAATATACTTTCAACCTCGTTATACTTGGCTATATTATGTATTAAATTAACATATATCCACACCCCCCTGCATTCAAACACAAACACTAGACACCAGCACACCACCGCATTCTAATGGCAACAGTACATACAATTACACCTATACATTCACACATATACTCTATACAGGAACATGCTTACATTCAAACACACAAACATTGCTTACAAATAAAACCCTGCAAGGATGGACAAATGGTAGTTCTTCAGCTAGCATAGCTTAATTGAAGTTGTACGACAGATGGGGATCTACCTTTTGCCTACTCTTTCACTGGTGCGAGGCCCAAAAACAATACTTGCACCATAACCCTCTCTACATTAGTTCTGCTACTAGTTTGGAGCCAAATATTTAATTGCTTCATTAGCATGGTAAAGATCCCAAGGCTTGTGGTAGTTGTAGGCCTATACCATGGATCAATATGTACAGGAAATAATTCATGTTGGCTGTATGCCTCGATCCAATACAAAAGGAGCTATTCAACTCTTATTAGTCTGGGTTGGTCCCATCAAGGGAGGCATGGATAACACAATCAAAATCATCAATGTGGCTCATCTTGCTAAAAAAATCATCCATGCCTTCCATCTTTCTATTCAATTGATGCAGAAAGGGTGGACTTGTCCTTTCCTTACTTCATGGTTTGGACAAACTGGATCAGATGGATTCAGATCAGATTTGAGGTTTGGACAAACTGGATCAGATGGATTCAAGCTATTTATTTCAGTGCTCTATGTGGCAGAAATGTCTCTGCCACAGGGTCTGCTTGCCAGCCTACTGCTAAAAGACTATGGGCCCTTTAAAAACTTATGTAATCTATGTACTTTTGTACTCCATAAAGAGAGACCGACTGTTGGCACTAATTCCCTGGAACTGTTTTGGGCATAGGACCATGTGCACAGTCAGTCTTGAATATGACTTCTATGAAAACCCTGAACCCCGAAACCGATCTGGGTGATTTTTGGATATGTTGGTCCCCCAAATCAGGGGTATCAGGGAAATGTGACTTTTGTGGGTTTTCCATGTGTTTTGGAGGTACTTTCGGGGTGTTGTTAAAATGTATGTTTTATGTGCCTGGAGATAATTGAGTTTAGTACAGTTCCTGACTCAATTATCTTTCAGGCACAGGAGAGGGATTATCCTGTTTTGTATGGGAGTGTCCTGGACCTGAGAGCCAATGTAATTATAGTGTGTACTTTGTCACAGTCCCCTCTCAGGTCCAGTGGGGAATGCCCCTGGAATATGTTATGGAAAACCCCCTGCATGGGGACTTGCATATAAGGCTAGTTGTGGTTGCCATTAAACATAGAGTCCCATCTCATGTTTGGAGGGAACAGCTATAGTCACTCTGGGGATTGCTATATTCACTATACTCATTTGGATTATAGCTCTTGTAAGAGCTATCCTGCTACACTCTCTGGAGTAGGAGAGGTTGACCCAATGGAAGCTGGATCCCTGTCTTGGGTCCAAGGTGGGTGGAGGACAACAAGACGCCAACCAAGCTGTAACGCTGGCTATGGGGACTACGATGGTTATGGTGTCTGGTTGAGTGATTGAAAGTACTCGGAGGTACTAAGAAGCAGCGATTGTCAGAGGCACTGAGTCGTGGTGCCAGGCGGTCTGCCACACTGAAACCATTTTTTTCAAGCTTTTAGGAAAAAACGGGGATTGAGGGTATACGAGTTTCATTCAAAGAATTGTAAGTTTCAGCTTTTGCTAATGATCTCCTTTCTAGCCTGACACATCCTTTGTCTTCCTTGCTCCCACTCAGGGCTAAACTGTTAAATTATAGTTCACTATCCAATTTTACATGTAATCTAGGGAAGAGTGAAATTTTTAATCATTCCATCACACAAATGAAATTCCTACTCTGAAACAATGCCAACTGAAAATCAATGGGCCAATGCCAGCATTAAATACCTGTTTGCAAACATTACCCCTTCTACTCAGGACCTCTATGAAGCAAACATTTCAAAACAAGTTGATCTTAACAATAGTTTTTTGTTTTTTTTCTCAATTTTGTTAGTTGGGCAAGGTGAATTACTTACCGTGAATATCATTCACTCCTTTATTTAATAAATACATGACCTATTTATTGCCGAGATCCATCTATAGATCATTTTAATCATTGTTTATGAACCTGTTTTGAGCCAGAAAAAAACCCTGCATCGCTTATAACATTTGATATATATATCATAATCCAAATAGGTTATGGTGGGGAAATATTGTGATTGAAAATTCCTTCCACCTGAAGTCTGTGGATAGTTAATACAATGTTAAACAAAAATCTGCATACCAGTCAAGCCATAAGACTTGCTTTTCTCACAGAAATCACAAATCTGCGGTGATGTTATTACCACAAAAGATTCTAGGAAGGCATATGCAAATTGTTCGTGGAGATTTTTGTTGATTTGGCTGAAAGAGCGCACTTATACTACAAATGTGAGTGCAGGCTCGTGGATTTTATATATGTACATATGTAGGGGGTTTTCCATAATATATATATTATATATACATAGGAGGAATCTGAGAAGGTAAACACATACCAATCACTGAAAGAGGAACTAGAAAGAATGTGGAAAGTAAAAGATGTAGTGTCTGATTTAAGTATCAGTAGCATCCTTTGGTAAAGGACCAGAGAACTATATTTATTTATATACATTTCCCATAGCCCCAAGACTGCGTTACTTATTAAGAATAGATTTAATTACCTCCTCCTAAAAACACCAACTTACTTGAATGTTGTTGTTTATATGCTTATCAAAATTAGTTATTTTATTCCATTTCACCAAATACCTACAGCTAAAAAAGTGATATTTGCATTTTTAAATAAGTTGATGCAAACAAAGATGTTATCTCTGACAGACATATTTCAACTTTTTGGAATACTTTGCCCCTGAATGAATAATCCCCCTCCTAGCATTTATAATCCAGTGGACAAACTGAGAGAATCAACAGGACACATGAATATGAAAATATATTCCACCGTAGGTAGAATAATTATGTCAAATTCTTACTTCTGTGTGAATTCAATTAAAATATTTTAGCTCAAACAATGATTTTTTTCCCAAAATGCTTGGGCCAGCCACTAACAAACTAAGAAACAAGAACATCAATTCAGTTTTCCCACAAAAAATACATTCCAACACAGATACCAACCTTCACTAAACTGGTATTGTTGTTGATGAAAACTGTGAAAAATGGAAGCTGGACATATCAAAGAGCCAGTCTTAACAAATGTGGGAAGCAAAGCACATCTATGGATGCATAAATGTAACCAGCAATATATACCAACGCAACAAATTACCACAAATCACATATGTATATCTTGTGAGGTATACTCTGGGAATGAGATTAAGTAGATAGAAATGTATGGGTCATAGTTTAATAGTGCTACAACATAAAGATCTTGAAATAAAAATTAAATAATACTTTAACAGTAAAAATTGATATGTGGTACCCTTGCGATTAACAAATCTTAAAGCTTTCAATGATCTCTATGATGTGTACACTTGTTTTGATTTGTATCTACTATTTGTTTGGGAGAAAGATGCATGTCTGCTCTGAATCTGCTCTGTAAAAGTCATGGAGTTTATGGAGTTTATTTAGGTTTCCCACAGTCCTCATGAGTTAGCAAGCATAGTGTCCATGTGCATAGAACATATTTTCATAATAAACTCAGTGCTCCTTGTGGAGCAAACATTAAAACATGCAATAATTCACTGTCACTGGAGAGACTATAAAAAGAATGGGATATAGGCCTATTCAAGCTACCTGACCCTTTAATGCATAAAAGGATAAAGATTAGTAGGGTCAAGTTGAAGGTCCACTTGATGATGGAATAACAAAACGTCTTTTTAAAAGAATTATTGTCAGTGTTGTGAGTCTATTATTTGTATGTTGAACTTTGGGTCTGTGTGTGAAGACTGAGGATCGCATCCCACACACTCTTGGTGCATGTTGACAACCTTCTGAAATGTAAAGGACCAAAACAACTTATATTGAATTGATATGAAATCTAAGAATAAGAATTAATCTAAAAATAAATAGGGTACTCATTTTTTTTTTCTAAAAACTACATTCTATGTTTATGTTGTAAATCAAGACAGTATACAAGGCTTCAATAATTTTACTCACCTGGCCTGGTTTTGCATTTTCACATACAAAAGTGTCATAATATTTATCAAATTCTGGTGGGTGATCATTTATATCCAGAATCTTAATATATACTTGAACATGGTTGATTTGTTTGGGGTTTTCTAAACAACAAGAACAAAAAAAAAGTTAGTTTTCTACAGCATAACTTGTATCCCACACAATGTGATGTTCAGGACAAAACACTTAAAATACAACCTCATTCAAATATTTAAAAGAATTAGATGCCTTTGCAAAGTATCCATTTTTTTATGTGTATTAACAAATGCATGTGGATTAATGGATCATTTTAAAGTGAGATATTAGCAAGATGTTAAGAATATATACTTAAATATTTCTGAATATCATGTGAACCAAGATTATATGTTACATGTTATTAAGCTGTATAAATGAACAAGAATATAAAAATGCACTTTTCTTTTTGTGTGTGAATCCAGTGTAAACGGGCTGTTCCAACAATTTTTGCAAAACAATAACTACTGTCCTCGTTGTTAATGGGAGATTGAGGCAAATGATAAAGGGTAAATTTAAACATGTAATAGCCAAGGATACTTCCAATAACGCCTCTTTTACACAAATTTACTTTTAAAATGTGAGGGACTCTATAAACATAATCTTTACTAGTATTCTACACAGTTTACTAAAACAACTCTAAGGTAAAGTTATTAAATGAGTAAAGTTATTAAATGCATATATTAAAGTGTTACTCCAGCCTCCATGGCCACTTCTGCTTTTATAAAATAAATGGTATGATTTTTATAGTGAATATGCAGTGACATTTTTGGCACAAGTTTTAAGGAGGGGGATTGCAGAACAAGAACAAGTGCAGAGGCAAGTTACAAAATAAATAATGGGGGTGGGAAGAAATTAGATAAACTGCATTTCTTTTCTTTAGAAAAAAGGCATCTCAGAGATGACATGATAGCGCTATACAAGTATAAACAGGGTCAGTGTAAAGCACTATCTGCTAACCTGTTCTTTAGCAGGATCATACAACAGTCAAGAGGTCACACACTCAGACAGAAAGAAAGTGGCTCTTTATAAATCGCTGGTAAGACCACACCTTGAATATGCTGTTTAATTTTGGGCACCTGTTCTAAAAAAGGATATCATGGCACTAGAAAAAGTGCAGAGACAAGCTACAAAATTGATAAAAGGAATGGAGCATTTTAGTTACGAAGAAAGGTTTAAAAAAATTAAATCTCTTTAGTTTGGAAAAACGGCACCTCAGAGGGGATATGATAACATTATACAAATATATTTGGGGCCAGTACAAACCATTATCTGAAAATCTATTCACAAACAGGGCTCTGCATAGGACACAAGGTCACGCATTTAGGCGGAAGAAATGAGATTTAATCTAAGGAAAAGAAAAGTTTTTTTTTTTTACAGTAAGAACTATAAGGATATGGAATTCTCTGCCTGAAGAGGTTGTTTTATCAGAGTCTATACAGATATTTAAACAGCAATTGGATAAATACTTCCAAAAACATAACATACAGGGATATAATTTCTAATTAGTGGGTTAATAGCTGCTTGATCCAAGGAGATATATGACTGCCATTTTGGGGTCAAGAAGGAATTTTGTCCTAGTTTGTTGCAAAATTGGGGGCGCTTCAGACTGGGTTTTTTGCCTACTTTTGGATCAACAGCAAAAACATATGTGAGGAAGACTGAACTTGATAGACGCAAGTCTCTTTTCAGCTATGTAACTATATGTAAACATATCACAATCCAATTTATGTAAAGATTGATTTGCAGACAAATGTAAAAAAAATATGTAAATTTTAACTTTTTTTTATTTTTAACTTATTCGTTTAGCCTTTTAAAAATATTTCGGAAACTAGCAGCTTTAGACAGTATACAGTGTCCTTGATTTTGTAATATTTCACTCAGGATCTGTTTAGTAGCTATAAAAGCAATTGCTTAAGGATATGTTATTGTATATCTATTATAGATTGACAGGGGTTTATTGGTTGAATTTAAGTATCCAGAAAAGAGCACAATCCTGTCTGGAGAAGCAACAGGACTTCAAGGGAGATGGATTGCCGCATTGTTGAACAGTACAAAAGGCTAATACAGTGGCATGGGCAATGTACAAACATAAGCTAATTCAAATGGAATGGAGGAGGAAACACACAAGTTTGTACATAGGAGCAGGTAAAAGGGAATCTGACAGAAAAATAGTGAGTAAGCCAAGTGAACATCTTTCAGAAGAGAAGAGAGGTTATACATAGGGTAGATGTCAAAGGTGCACCCATTGTGATTTACCTGTGTTATCATAGTTAAGGGGGCACAACAAGTGCCTATGTCAGTACTGTGACATCAAGAGACAGCCGCATTCAAACATGATACCTCAGTAGATACCACATGTCCCAACCAGCTTAGTGGAAGTGGCTATGACAGGATGCATGCATCACCTTAAAAGAGCTGACATGCACATTATAGCAATACAACATTATTAAAATGAATGCGGGTCCTACTTCCATTAGCAACTTAACTCATCCCCAAACTTCCCATTTCTACTCAGTGATAACAGCAAGAAGCTGACTCCATATTGGTTAGTTTCAATGTTAATTCCTACATTTGGGAGCATAGAAGGAGAACTGTAACTTATGTTGATGGACTCCACATCCATTTGGTTTCTGCTGGCATGTCAGGTCCTGAAGGATCTTTGAGTGCATGTGTGGTGACATTGGTGTTACATTTTCAACTCCAGGTGTTTTGAAATTTTAAAAAAAGCATTTGAAAAATAACTCAGTTCTTAAAATTATAAAATAAAAAGATACATTATATTTAAGCTCTTCACTGCTTTCTGACAAATGAGACAAATGTCAATAAAGTGGAACTGTCACTTTCCATGATTTTTAATACTATTTATAGTTATCCTTAGATTTTGTGAGGTGTGAAAAATAGTCCACACCTGTTTATCCTGTAATGGGGTGCCCCTATCTTATGTCCTTTGTCACTGGCATTCAGCACAGATAAAGCATACAGAGAATAGGAGAAATTAAGCAGTGTCTCTAGTTCTCCTCCTCATTTGCAATATTTTCCTTGGCCTTGCTTAGATGAATTGGATTATGATTTGCTAATTCCTTAAAGTAAATTTAAATGGACATAGAACACATCATGAGGTGGTATAAATTACAGGGAATTAAGAGCTCCCCTATAAGTCCCATCAAGAGTCAAAGCACGGGAAATGTATCATAAAGATATAATTTCCTGGCTGTAGAAAGAAAGAGAAAAAGATGATAAAATCTCGAGACCACAAAACAACTGGTCTTGAAAAAAATGGAACCTACCTATTTGTATTTTTTGTGCTTCATTTAAACAAATTTGGCAAACACAAACCCACAATGGTGCCTCAATGCACACCTTTATATTTAATTATGAAAATAAATTGTATTTAAATGGATTTGTATGCATCTCATATGCATAAAAAGCTTAAAGCATATGAAATGAATAAAAGTGACTGGAGAATCTAAGTGTTATGAGTTCAGTATTTTTCCCTGTAATTTTTAAATATGACATGGTTCAGATATTGGATGCTGTGCATGATTCATTTCTTGACATATTGATGCATTATGCTTGTTTTAAGAAATTATGACTTTATAGTGTTATATTTTTTAATTTATGGCTATTTTAATTCAATGTGCATCTAAAGGTGTCGAAAATATAGAAAAAACATGTTATCATGATCGTTTACATTTTAGAACTTAAAGGACAAAAATCTTTATTCTTTTTGCATTTGCAAAATAATATTTGCAAGCTAACTCGCTAATTAGAGTTTAGAGCACTAGCCTCCATTAATCATTTTTATTCTACAAGAAAGATTCGTGGTTGAATGAAACAACAAAACTGTAAGCCATTCACTTATGCAAGTTAAGGCTAATCAATCAAAGAATTGTGTACATTCAATTTTCATGGTGTCATTTATGTATTGCTTCTGTTTCCATAAAATATACTGAAAAGTTAATTATGGTGTATGTTTTCTATTTTTTCAACCTATGCTGTGTATGCCAAATTCATTTTTTTTCCATTTTATTTATCAATACAATATACACTATATGGATACTAGTATTGGGACACAATAATGAATCACTGAATTCAAGCAAGGTACTGTGATTGCAATAAGTCAGTTCATGAAATTTCATTCCTGCTAGATATTCAACTATAAGTAGTTTTATTGGAAAGTGGAAGCATTTAGGAACATCAGACACTTAGTCACAAAGGAAAAGACCACGTAAATTCGTAGAGCGTGGTCACCGAGTGCTAAGGTGCATAATCTGTAAAAGTTACCAACGCTCTGCTCATTCCATAGCAGAAGAGTTCCAAACTTCTACTGGCATTAATATCAGCACACAAACTGTGCAGCTTCATGGAATGGGTTTCCATGGTTGAGCGGCTGCATGCAAGCCTTACATCACAAAGTACAATGCCAAGTGTTGGATTAAGTGGTGTAAAGCATGTCACCACTGGACTTTGGAGTAGTGGAAACATGTTTGGTGGAGTGGCAAATCAGAGAAACATAGAAACATAGAATGTGACGGCAGATAAGAACCATTCGGCCCACCTAGTCCTAGCCTTATCTTATAGTTAGGATAGCCTTATGCCTATCCCACGCATGCTTAAACTCCTTTACTGTGTTAACCTCTACCACTTCAGCTGGAAGGCTATTCCATGCATCCACTACCCTCTCAGTAAAGTAATACTTCCTGATATTATTTTTAAACCTTTGTCCCTCTAATTTAAGACTATGTCCTCTTGTTGTGGTAGTTTTTCTTCTTTTAAATATAGTCTCCTCCTTTACTGTGTTGATTCCCTTTATATATTAAAATGTTTCTATCATATCCCCCCTGTCTCGTCTTTCCTCCAAGCTATACATGTGAAGATCCTTTAACCTTTCCTGGTAAGTTTTATCCCGCAATCCATGAACCAGTTTAGTAGCCCTTCTCTGAACCCTCTCTAAGGTATCAATATCCTTCTATAGATACAGTCTCCAGTACTGTGTACAATACTCCAAGTGAGGTCTCACCAGTGTTCTGTACAATGGCATGAGCACTTCCCTCTTCTACTGCTAATACCTCTCCCTATACAACCAAGCATTCTGCTAGCATTTCCTGCTGCTCTATTACATTGTCTGCCTACCTTTAAGTCATCAGAAATAATCACCCCTAAATCCCTTTCCTCATATGTTGAGGTTAGAACTCTATCAAATATTCTGTACTCTGCCCTTGGGTTTTTACGTCCAAGATGCATTATCTTGCACTTATCCACATTAAATGTCAGTTGCCACAATTCTGACCATTTTTCTAGTTTACCTAAATCATTTGCCATTTGGCTTATCCCTCCTGGAACATCAACCCTGTTACATATCTTAGTATCATCAGCAAAAAGACGTACCTTAACATCAAGACCTTCTGCAATATCACTAATAAAAATATTAAAGAGAACGGGTCCAAGTACAGATTCCTGAGGTACCCCACTGGTGACAAGTCCAAGCTTTGAATATATTCCATTAACTACAACCCTCTGTTGCCTGTCACTCAGCCACTGCCTTACCCATTCAACAATATTGGAATCCAAACTTAAAGATTGCAGTTTATTGATAAGCCTTCTATGTGCAACAGTGTCAAAAACCTTACTGAAATCTAGGTAAGCAATGTCTACTGCACCACCCTGATCTATAATTTTAGTTACCCAATCAAAAAAATCTATAAGATTAGTTTGGCATGATCTCCCTGAAGTAAACCCATGTTGTCTCTGATCTTGAAATCCATGTGTTTTTAGATGTTCAGCAATCCTATCCTTTAACATGGTTTCCATCACTTTCCCCACTACTGAAGTAAGGCTTACTGGCATATAGTTCCCCGACTCCTCCCTATTACCTTTCTTGTAAATGGGCACAACTTCCAATCTTCTGGGACTACTCCTGTTAACAATGATTGGTTAAATAAATCTGTTAATGGTTTTGCTAGTACACCACTAAGCTCTTTTAATAGCTTTGAGTGTATTCCATCAGGTCCCATTGACTTATTTGCTTAACAATATTACAGATACGTCTCCTGTCTCTGTGAGACATGCTTCTTTGCTTTGCAATCTGATGGACGAGTCTGGGTTTGACAGATTTTTATTATTATTAATAGCATTTATATAGCGCCAACAGATTCTGTAGCACTTTACAATATTATAAGAGGGGGAGATTTAACAATAAATAGGACAATTACAAAAAACTTACAGATACGATAGTTTGAAAAGTACCCTGCTCAAATGAGCTTCCAGTCTAAAGGAAGTGAGGTATAAAACACAGTAGGACAGGAGATAGCAATCAAATAAGGTAGGAGTGAAGCAGAGCTGGAGGAGAAAATATAGTGCTGTCCTTTAGAAGAGAGCAAGGGACAGGTATGTGCGGTAGAGATTACTCTGGGAGGCCATATGCTTTCCTAAAGAGATGCGTTTTAAGGCACTTCTTAAACAATTGAAGACTAGGGAAGAGTCTGATGGTGGTTGGCAGGCCATAGGAAGGGAGCCGCCTGAGAGAAGTCCTGCAAGAGTGAGCTTGCCATATGGGTAGGAGCTGTGGACAGTAGAAGGTTATGGGCAGAGAGGAGACTGAGAAGGAGCATATCTATGGATCAGTTAAGAGTTATAAGAGGGGCTAGTTCATTGATTTATAGGTATGAATTGGTACTTTGAATTGACTCCTATAGGATACAGGAAACCTTGAATAATGGCCTCAAAAAAGAATTCTGAAAGTCGTGCCATTAAAATATATTTAAATAAAGATCAAAGATATCAGATCCGAAAAAAGGTTGTCAATTATTTTCTACTCCACACTCTTCAAGCGTGGAGGAAATAAGTGAAGGTACCTCATTTATCCAAGCTGAAGATAGAGAAAATAATACCCTCTCTGTGAATGAGATACAGGCAATGTTCTCTGAAATCTTGGGAAAAAGTCAAAAGCTTTTACTTGAAAAAAAATACTTAGAATTACAAATTAATGTTAAATAGATTAAAAAAAGATATTGCTGCAATAAACCAAAAAATGATAAATATTGAAGAAAGGCTTAGGACATTTGGATTTCCAACAAGGGAAGATGCAAACACAATATGATCTATTACTTACTAAATATGGTGATATGCAACAAAAAAATATGTGATTTAGAAGACCGCAGTTGGTGGAATAATATCCGTATCAGAGGGATTAACAAACAAGTCACATGAGAAAATCTACAGGAAGATCTGTTTAATTCTTTTCGGCACATAAGCATGGCTTTTGAGCCAAACAAGAAAATAATGGATAGATTTCATCTCCTGTCCAGACCAAAGGGGATACCAACATCGGCCTCTGGAGACATCATCATATTTTTCCATCATTATTGGTTTAAAGAACAGGTTATGTTTAACCCCTTAAGGACACATGACATGTGTGACATGTCATAATTCCCTTTTAATCCAGAAGTTTGGTCCTTAAGGGGTTAAATATAGATGTAAAATGGCGACAGAGGCAAATCATGCTTATCAAGATCTTAAAATATTCCAAGATCTGTCTTGGTATACAAGGAACAAGGAACAAGGAACAGGAAGAAGATCTTTTGGGATAGTAACAAATATTCTGAGAAACAATCAGATAAAGTATAAATGGGGATACCCAACTAAATTAATAGTATTGCAGGGGAATGACATAGACATTTTTTTCCGATTCCCAAAAGGCCTCTTTGTGGCTCCAAAAGAAATCCTTGTAATCATTGTATATATGGTAATTAAGAAAATGGCTGCCAGGGATATTGGAAGAGATGGAATATTTTTTTTTTATCTTTTTTAATGAAATATCTGACTACAAGAATAGTACTAATATAGAATTTTCCCTGATGTAATGATCACTTTAAAATAACTTAGTAGAAAGTATATTCTTCAGAAACAATTCACAACCACCCTGTAGCGGAGAGCTGGTATTCCACAGGTTATCTCCACTCAAGATTCCAGTGAGGCTCAGGAACAAATATTAAAAATCCATAAGGCAATAATTACAGCAGGCAAGTCAATCCAATAATATCCCAATATAAATCCCAATGACTGGACGACACACAGCATCAGGAGCAGAACTGAACTTTTAATCACTCAACCTTCTTTTAAAACTTTCTCCCATGCAAGGGAGGGATTTACAGTAATTATACAGTACACCAATCATACATGAGTTGCCACCCACACATCCCCTCCCCTAAGTAAGACTCATAATCCCATTATGCAGGACACAGTTCCACTGGTTTTCTGAATGTACCCCTAAAAATAGGGGTACCCCTTTAAATATTACATTCCCTGGTAGCCCTGATCTGGGTGAGAGACCATATTCAAAAATAAACCAGATCGGACCAGGGGTTCGGGAAATTCCTGGAGGTAGTAAAAAGACCGACTTCGCTTGGGTTAACAGCCAAAATGGGTTCCATACATTTTGGCCCTGCGGTCGGTCACAGGAAAAGGGAACAAAATGCACAAACAGCTTGGGTTATGGAGACTGGGGAGGATTCAGATAAACCCCCTTGTTTGTGGGGTTCTTTCTACCGAACGGGGAGCCATTCGGTAGTTTCTACACGAAGTGACGGCAGTGCGGAGGTCTCAGCGGTCTTTGCTTATCCGACTGTCCGATTTGGGTTCCAGACACTCGACGGCAAAACACCGCTGTTCAGGAGTTTAAGATGGCCACCTCAACGTGTTCGTCTCCCGAATGGCGGCCACCCAGAGGACAAAGCACACACTGCACCAATTGCCAATTACCCGTTTGCAACATTATTGCGAACGGTAATTGGAGGCACACTTATTCCTGGGGTGGTCTGATTGTTGTTTCACTCGCATAATAACTGAACTGATTTTACCGAACAGTCAGGAGAATGCTGCATACACTTTACATACATATGGCAAAAATTAACCGAAAGCATACGAATACACATAATTTTGAGGACAGCCCAATGCCAACCGCTACACACCCTTTAACCCCAAATGTACACATTGTGATCAAAACAAAATGTAAACAAAACCTGGCATATGAGCCATATGTCTGTCCAACTGTAATTCACCTCTTTCATATTAAATGCACCCACACTTATTATATAACATTTTATTAAGGGGAAACAGGGCTTTGTTTTAACATTAAATATTTAGGTATGAAACATAATTTAATATGAATAAAATATAATAAAATGGGAGAAAATAAGAATTTTTAAAATTGTTTTAGCTGACATGACATTTTAACTGTGAATGTCATAATACTGTTTGCTTTTACTGCAATAAAATACACATATTTGTATTCACATGTAAAACAGTACCCCCTATGTACAGGTTTTATGGTGTTTTGGGAAGTTACAGGGTCAAATATAGAATGTTAAATTTTTCTGATTTTTCACATTGAAATTCGCCCGATTGGTTATGTTGCCTTTGAGACCATATGGTAGCCCAGGAATGAGAAATGCCCCCATGATGGCATACCATTTGCAATAGTAGAGAACCCAAGGTATTGTAAATGGGGTATGTCCAGTCTTTTTTAGTAGCCACTTGGTCACAAACAATGGCCAAATTAGTGTTAATATGTGTTTGTGTGTGAAAAATGCAAAAAACTAATTTTCATTCCTGGGCTACCATACAGTCTCGAAGGCAACATAGCCAATCTGGCGAATTTCAAAGTGAAAAAATGAAACGCAAGTCTTATATTTGACTCTGTAACTTTTGAAAACTCCATTAAAACTGTACATGAGGGGTACTGTTATACTTTGAAAAAGACCTACTTCGGTCGAAACGCGTCAGTGTATGTGGACTCTTTTTTTTCTTTTGGCTTATGCTGTATTTTTCCCATGTACTTTTTATCCAGTTTGTATCCAGTTAATTTGTATCCAGTACAAGTAAAGTTTATTTTATTTTCCACTATTTGTGGATGTTGTGATACTTCCTGGGGTACCAGAAAGGAGACATCACTACAAGTGAATCCTACAGCCGGAATAAGCTTATTATTCACCTGCCATCTAAGCCAGAGCCTGCTTGTTGTGGCTATGGAAAGTGTGAGCCATTACCTCTGTAATAAGATCTATATTGGTTGAAGTAACAGTATTATGCTATGAGCATGTTTATGTTACCTTTTCAGAAAGATCAGGAGGCTTCACACTTATAAGTATACATTTTATATTTGTTTTGTATATTTGCACCCCCCACTATTTATCATTTCTTGTTTTAATACATTTTACTGTTTCGAAACACTAATATTTGTTTTCAGCAAAGTCTTCCGAGTAAAACAGTACCCCCTATGTACAGATTTTATGGTGTCTTGGAAAGTTACAGGGTTAAATATAGTGCTAGCAAATTAAATTCCCTGGACTTTCAGCCTGGGTTGTCAGGCAGGTCCCGCAAATTGTAATTAATAAAATGACCTATTTATGTAAAATTATTACATAAATATATATGTAGAATTATTATATCTATACGTGTATATAAATATATATATATATATATATATATATATATATATGTACACAAATATATATGTATATATTTTTTTCAATTATTTTTATTTATATATATATGGTATGGTATATATATATATAGTGATATATGTATATACTTATGTATATAGATATATGTAAGGAAACCTGATATATGTAATCCTCATTCGGTAGTTTCCTCCCGAACCGCCAGAGCATCAGTGAATATAGCTCTCCGTTCGGTAGATGAAATAGACGAACTGTATAGTAATCCAAATAGCTTCATAAGATAATTCCCTTAGTAAAACACATGAATCCCCAAACATCAGCCGAAGTCAAGAAGAAGGGTACAACTGAACTGAGCTTTAATGATTACACACAGGCTTTTATGCAAGTCCCCATGCAAGGGGACATCCCACAGGGGAGGGACAGAGTTTAACCAATCTGGCACAGTAAAAGCATAAAACACACCCAGTACACACATACAATTCCCTCCCCTAGTCCTGGAGATAATCAAGTCTGATAAAGTAAAAACTTGATTATCTCCAGGCAGAAAAATCACAATTTTCCCCAATATTTGGAACACCCCTTTATACATGAGGTATCCCCAAAAATAATATGTCCCCTGATAGCCCTGATCTGGGTGACCAACATATTCAAATTTCACCCAGATCGGTTCAGGGGTTCTCAAAAAAGGTGGAAGTCTTCTGTGACTGGCTAACCGTGGGCTGGCTGCCCAAAATAGTTCCATGAGTTTGGGTGGTTTTGCCGGTCACTTCAATAAAGGGGAAAAAAACAAATAAAATACCGAATGGATTCCCCTGGCTCTCAGCAGCGATTGTTCCCCTCAGTCGAATGCACAAAATTACCGAATATGGCTCTTCTAGCTATTCGGGAAATATAGTTCCAATGTTCGCTGTTGGAGACAGAAGTTCGGGAAGTCATGTGTCCGATTTTAGTTCCAGACACTCGACGACCAAGTCCCGCTGCCTTTGTTCGGCTGAAAAAAATATGGCCGCGGTTTTCTCAGCCACGTGGCATTAGGTAGTACGAACGCTGGCCGCACAGATAGAGGGGTCAATTGATGAATACTGCTTTGAAGCTTAATGAGCCAGGGGGGTGATCTTTGTTTGGTAGTTAGATCTAACGAATGAATAAAGGGGAACTAAGGTGCATAAATAGGGATTTCGTCACAATATATATATTATTTTGTTATAGGTCTATTTTGATATCAATATATATATATTAATTTTAAAATACAGTTAGAACGAAATTACACATATATATTTTTTATTTATTTATTATTTTTTTTACGTATTTACATATTTATTTTATATTATATATATATATAATTAATATAATTCTACGTGTATTTTGATATTAATATATAATTTTATTTATTAATATTAAAATACACTTAGACAGTGTATGTGTATGTATGTGTATATATATACTTATTATAATTAATATTGCCATTTATATAGCGCCAACAGATTCTGTAGCGCTTTACAATATTATTAGAGGGGGGATTTAACTAAAAATAGGATAATTACAAGGCAAAAGGCCTCGCATTAATATTAAGAGGATGGCATTACAAGTGAAATATGGAGGTTTAGGCATGCCAATCTTGCAAAACTATTATTTAGCTAACATGATTGGCCACATCTATCTAATACAGACTCCGCAGATATGCAAAGAAAGTTGATTTAAAATTGATTCACATCTGACTCAACAATGGGATCTTACTAGTTGCATTTGGGAGATTCAAAGCTATAAATGTCGAGATTGTGGTGATAAAAGCTTTATTTTAAGTCAACTTTTTAAGGTCTGGGCCCAATTAAAGAAAAAACTAGAAGTGCAGGATAAAATAATTGATACTAATGGTATCGGTGTTATAGCAAAAAGCATTCCACATCTAGCCATAGATAAATGGATTAAATCTGGTATTCTTAAGGTGGCTGACCTTTACACTAATGGAACACTGAAATCCTTTTCTGAGTTAAACCTACAATATAATCTACCTACTAAGGAAACTTTTACCTTCTTAAGAAGTGGCGACAAACACAAATTGTGCCTTTTAAAAAAGATATTTTGTGAGAAATTAGTATCTAAAGTTATGTCAACAGCCTATCTTTTAATTTCCTTTATAGAACAAGGAGATGTTCGTAAGAACATAGAAAAATTGAATAAACTACTTGACATAGATTTAAATAAAGAAGAGTGGCTAACTGCCATAAAAAACTATAACAGTGATATCCATTGTACTGATATACTTGAAAATCAATACAAAGTGATTCATTTCTGGTACTTGGATCATTCTTTAGTAAATACATTTTCTTCTAATTGTTTGTGTTGGAGATGTGATACTGAGGGGGGAGAGTATCTCCATATGTGGTGGAGCTGCAAAATTGCGGCTAATTTATGGAAAATAACATTTGATAAACTTCAGATATTGGGGAGTTTCAAGATAGAGCAAAAACTGGAAACAGGGATCCTACATCTTAATTGGCCCAAGTTATCTCCAAAAAATGCTTTGATGTCCACTCATTTTTTGTAGCCACACAACTTCTTCTAGCATGACACTGGAAATCAAGAGGGTCTATAAACTGGCTAAATCTTAAGAACCAAATTTTATTCCAGTGTAGTATGGAAGGGGGACTAAAATGGTTGAATAAGAAGTCTAAACTATATAGCACTTATATTCAGAGCTGGATAAACCAATTGAAAAATTTGTAATCTGAGCTATCTTTATATTGTTTCTACTCAAATGACTAATAGTAATAGTAAGTTTTGGTTTTTAAGCTATGGTATCTGATCTTCCTCCCAATGACTTAGCATTGAAAGTTTGTTTTGTTATATGCGAGAATCCTTTCAGAATATGTATTGTATACAGGATAATAGGAACTTTAGTTTCCTATGTACAAGATATTACATAGGAAATATGCTTTTTGTATTCGTTTATATATGTCTCTTTATAAAAAGAAAAAACATAATAAAGATTATTGATTAAAAAAAAATATATATATATATATCATAAAAGTAGAGACGTACTAAATATCGCACTCACCAAGTAACCTAGGTGCTCTGAAGCCAGGGTTTGATAAAAAAAAAATTGCTGTTTTTGCCCCAATAAAGCTGTTATTTTTTTGTTATCCCAGAGTGCCTGAACCGTTATTTATTCTGCATAACTGTTGGTGTAATTGTCAGGTGTCCTGATACTTTCGTTCATATAGTGTATATTCATAAATTACTCAGGCTAATTATCTGTAGGGTAATATATTTATAGCGTGTGTGTATAAACTATATGAATATATCATTAAATCAATGCATCTCTATGAGGAACGTTCAGCACCAACATGCAGAGTGCGATAATGCTGGATGTCAGCATGGCACAATGTGCAGCACTGACCCAGGAAGCATCTCTATTGGCCATGACTGCCACTAGAGGAGTTTCTAGGCAGGTGTTCTCTGAAAAGGCAGTGTTCACATTAAAAAAATAGTCAATAGTAAAAACCAGATCTTTCTGCACCCAGAGTAAAAATCCACAAGGGAAAGCTGATGGGTGCCGGTAACTGTATTTCCATGAATAAAGGGGATAACCCTACTACAATAACCACTTATAGCACCATAACAGGAAATACCTGAAGTGTACTTAGGCACTTCAGAAGGGGAAGGCAGTGAATAATAAAGCAACATTTATTGAAAAATATGAGTTACAGATTAATTAATCCACAAAAATGTAAATAAGTACAATAATACCCGAGGGGAAAAAGCCTTAACTGATATGTAAAGGGTAGTCACAGGCTGCCAAACAAAGAAGGGTAAATTAGGCTCAGTGGTACCTGGGGAATACGTAAAGTGATTACAATTTGAGCTGTATCTGCCAAAGGCTGGCCTTCACATTAAAAGGAAAGCCTGCAGGGGCATCCTATACACATCAAAACAACTACATTAAGCTATAGTAGTTCTGGTGACTATATTGACTATAGGAACACTGCTTTCTAAATATTATAAATGGAACTTGGTCATCATGTGCCTATTTGTTGCGGTTACAGCTAACTAAAATGTAAACTATATCAAGATATTGCATGTCTCATTGAGAAACTTTGGCTTTTTATTTGATATAATAATGTATATGTTACTGATGCAATGCAAATATAAATATTATCAGAAATATTACATTTAAAAGGACTTTACTACACCAATAATACACCAAATGCTATATAATTTTAGTGATACAATCATGATGATGATGCTTCTACTATAGATACATATTTACAGAGGTGAGAAAGGCTGTTAGCTAGGTCTTTATATAATCATGTTTGAATGGCCAGATAGTGCAACTGATCATGTTAATAAATGTATCCTTCTTACTACTACTATTACTATGGATGAATCAAAAGTAGCTGACAGAAAGTAACAAAAAGAGCAATGCTACATATAGGTGGAGGCAGGTTTGTGTTACAGTAGATTACAGTAAGAAAATAAAGGTAAATATTATTTCAAATAAGTGGGTTGTCAGTATATTTTTTTTATGCCACTTTATATACATTTTTAATTAAAAAAGTATAATCAGGGATTTCACATTTTGTTATTTTATTATTTTTCATAGAATAAAGGCAGGATGTGGTAATGAAAGAATAAAAGGCCTATTTTTCAAATGCTTATATAGTGTATCTAACACATATTTAGAGATTGTATATTCTTGTGCTTTATTAAGATGAACTTGTTTATCAGTAATGGTATATATACAAAAACAATGGTTAAGTTGCAAAGGAAACAACAGATGAAAAAAAAATGAAATATTAAATAAAAGTACAAAATCACCACAACACTTGTTTTGCCCCTTTGTTAAATCTCCCTAATTTTATCCCGATTTTGCTCCTTTTTCTGTGCTCTTTCTAAGCTGATGGAAAGGCCTCTTTGGATTTACACATTTTTCATTTTCAGACCTCATAAATATAAATTTTGAAATATAATACATAAGGAAAAACAATATTTAAATGTAAAAAAGAAGTGGCAGTTCCCTTCAAATATTTATTCAACATGTAATATTCCCAGAAATCAAATTAACTCACTTATTTCTGTTGCAGTTATTGTGAGATTGTGCCATGGACTGACTTCACGGTCGAGACACTTAGACAGAAATATAGAGCCATTCCCTGAGTATATACTGAATATTCTTTCGATATCGGTGTTGCGATCAATGCTATATCTATGAATGATAACACAATTAAAAAAATACACATATTTAATTTAAAAATATTAATTCGATTTACGACAATATACTAAAATGTACATACAGTTATTAGCAGGTTGGTGGAATGGTACATGATTTGCATTTAGCATTCTTTTGCTGTAATGCAAGACAAAAAATTCTTTACATTTCAAGATTATGTTTATTACAACATTGTTTTCCCGTTTGATTGCCAAAGAGGATTTTAAATATTTTTCAGAGACAGTCAGTGCATTTAAAGACAATATTGTACCAGTTATTAACTCTGTACATTTTTGAAAAAAATATATTTTTTATACATTATTTAATGTTGCTTTATACATAAAAAAAATAATTCAACAAATATTTTGACAACAGTTCACTAAAATATATAAATTTAAAACAATTTCCATATTAGAAGAGATCCAATCATATTTCAAACAAAAGAACGTGTTCTATACAAGTATGATATTTAAAAAGAAATAGATAGGATAGCAAAACAAATATAGATGAAAGCAAAAAACAAAAACACGTCAAAAATGCAGTACACGTGAATATAAATTATAAGCACAGCTCAAAATTATAATTTGAGTTACAGCAAAAAAAATAAAAAAAATATTTGTTATGTATTGCTCTTCTAAGAGGTCATGTTTTATATATAATCAGGGTTGATACAAAGTAATACCACCAATGCATTTTTTCTTCTATATGCATCAATTTGTCAGGATATATATTAAAGGAACTGTATTGGCACCATAACAACCTCATTGAAATTGCCCAAATGTTCCTGGCACTTTATTACTTGAAGGGGTTAAATCATTCATGATGTTTTAACTCCAAAGGTTGCTCCCCAGCGGCATATATTTTGTCCACACTTCTATCAGGGATAGTGCATGTTCAGATATGGAATTAGGCTTTTCGTACTGGTTTGAATAGTGCCCAAGAAAATCTTCTCGGTATCATCACAAAACCTTTTTCCATACTTTAGCCGAGTCAGTCTAGTATATTTAGCATATACCAGTCATGCTTTCATATAGTGTGTTTTGAGTCATGGAGTTTGATACAGAGCTCTTGTAATTGTTAATTTGTGCAACTTTACTCCAGTCTATTCTACTGACCTCTGTAGCTCATTTAAAGTGACTATTGGTTTCTTTTTGGAGTCTCATAATTCTCATTCTCAGTCTCATATTTGATTGTTTTTGAGGACAGACTTTTCCAGGCAGTGTTTGGGTGGTATGATGCAGTCTTCATTTAGAAATAATTGTCCCAACAGTGCTAACTGGAATTTTTAAACACTTTAATATTACTTTGTCTCCTTATTTTGAAGTAGTTTGAGTGCTTTATATTTTACTATTGTAAAATATTGTTGCATTTGCATACTCTGGTTAAGGATAATTGGTCAAGCTGGAGATCACAAGAATCCAGCTTGACTAAAGATCCTTATCCAGAGTCTGACTTTTATTCAGAGAAAAATATTATTTACTTTGCTTTTTTTACATCCAGAGGCCAACTGCCACCAGGGACATTTTTAAGCTATGGTCTTGAAGCATCCAGGGCAGGTATGTTGAATATGCATACTTTCATTTTTAATAATTTATTTTAGTAAAAATCCAATGTCACCCTAAAATCAGAATTTTTGAGTTTAAATGTTTTTGGATAAAGTATTACACAGAACTGAAGTTTTTGTTTCTCCAGGGGAATTCTTGTGAGGGTGCAGACCGGGGCTGTGTGCTCTGGATGTCTCTATTTCTTCACAGGGTGAATCCCCATGGAGGAATGAACAGAGCACCAGTCTAGATTTCTTCTGATTCAAGGAGGTTCACTCATTTACCATAAGTCTTCAACTCCATAACAGCCGTGGTTACCACATACTGGGTGAGATCTAAGCCACAAAGTTCTCTAAGTCTTTTAATTAAATGACCATTTTTGTGGCCATTATTTTTTATTTATTTTTGGAGGGATATATCCACGTATGCCTTATATGTTAGTCATTCAGTATAATGCTACTCCTATATTGAAGTGTATCATCTATTTTTGCAAGCTAGCAATCAAGTTTTCATTGTTTATGACATCTGCTATTTGAAGTTTTTTATTTGTGATTTTCTTTTTCCATTCTTTTCATTTCTTCATCAACTCGGAATACAACCTGGAGAATTATCAGCATATTCAGTGGACAATATATATATTCTTCGAGAATAAGGGAATTAAAATTACAAAGATTAGCATATGTGTATTTTGTAATTAACTGTGTGTGCTTTATGCAGTATATAAAGTTTATATAGGGTTTATAGATACTCACATTCTGGGTCTTTTTTTTAGTAATGTATACATATACAGTAATGATAAATAAACATGTGTGTTTGTACATTTTGTATATAATTGTCCACCTTATTTCTCCAAATTATTTCTCACTTTTACACACTTTCTTACATTTGTGATGGATTCTCATGTCTAGGCATGCAGGTTACTGGCTTTATAATTACATGTGTTTGTAATTTAGCTTTTTCTTTAGAACCTCTAGAAATTCTAACATCTTATACTGAGTAATAAAAATCATTTTGCAGTAATTCTTGTGTGCGGCATAATTATTTATTTTTCTTTTGTAATTTGGAGGTATTTCTGTGGCGTGTTACCGTAATACCAGCATCAATAATCAGCTGAGTGCCAACATCTATATATTGTTTTGATATATTATAAAATGAATAGCTATACAAACATGGATATCTTTTTAACTCTATTTCAGTACAAGACTTACTGGACTGGGCTCTTTGCTGAATCAGGATCTTGAGCTGAAACCTGACCAATGATATTTCCTTCCTTTGCATCTTCATCTACTTCGATTATATAAAAATGCCTACTAAAGATAGGGGCTTCATCAACATCCTGAAGTAATATTTTCACAATAGCTGTATCTTTGAATGGTCCGAGGTGGAAAAAACGTGGCTCTACATAAGAATTGGTTGCTTCAACCTGAAAAGTGTATATTCCACGAACTTCAAAATCCAACAACTGTGGGTAAAATGTAAAAAAGTGTTTAATTAAATGCGTGTAAATCCCATAACATAATTCATGAAAAGATAAAAAAAACAAGAAGATTACTGTGTAAGCCTCATGCCTTATGTCACTTAGACAAGATCCATATTTAATAATTCAAAAACATACAATTGACATATCAGTATGTAATATTGTAATATATATGAGGAAGGTCCCTGCGTGGACCAAAACGTCGATCACTTTTTCATGGAATAAAAAGCATATTTAATTTATTCACAAGACCGAGAGTGCAGCCTATACTTTCAAACGTTTTTGGAGTGTATCTGTATCCCCAATAGGACTGGCACCCGGCAGTATACATGATTCCTCTACAACAGAAGGACTATCGAGCGTGAGTGCAAGGAATATTTATTGTTGTGTGTATATATATATATATATATATATAAAGGACATTATCACTTTAAAGAAAAACTCCAAGCACCACACACACTACAGCCTGCTACAGTGCCAGGGCACCCCTTGCACAATTGTAAAAACAGCTTAATGTAGTTATAGTGCTTGGAGTGTTGAATTAAGTAGGATATTCTTCAAATAAGCCAATTTTTTTTTTCTGGTACATTTATTTTTATGCTTGCTTGTGCTTTATAGCTTTGTTTATTTTAAATATAATGTTCATATTTATTATATATACACTATATAAATACACTAATAAACAAATCTGTATCACTGCTGTAAGATTTAGTAGAATATAGTAGCATTATTTCATATGTAAAAAAAAAAAAAAAATGTTAGTGAATAAGTAATGTAATACTAACAATCAGAAAGTCACTTTAAATCCTTTGAGAGCAATATGCATAACTGGTGAACTGTGCACCAATGTGGCAGGCACCTCTATGACACTCACATGGTTACTATGTCAATTTCAATTGCAAATTTATGAAGACACTTTATTTTATAGTTATTGAATATTCACTATTTACTAAACAATACTTTTGGATTGTAGGTCACAATAGCATTATTCATTAAGGCTTTTTTGTATTACTATATAGCGGCCAAGTCCCTTTTAATCTTGGAATCATACAGCAATTCTCAGTGAATAATCCCAGTTTAATTTTACAATCCAAATTATGAAATGTCTGACTTAAAAGGGGGTTTGAAAAAAAAAAAAAGCGGGGGTTTGATCATTAAAGAAAGACTAAAATATTAGGAATAAAAAAACAATATTCCTCCCCACAAACATTCTTCAAGACGTTAAAGGCAGAGGTCCGCACGTTTATATGGAAGGGCAGACCCCCACGCATAGCATATACCCAGCTCATTCTACCCAAACTCCGAGGAGGTCTAGCGCTCCCCGACTTCGAACGATACTATCACGCAGCACATCTTACACGAGTCATAAGCTGGACGGTAGCCAGCGGCACAAAACCATGGACCCAACTGGAATCCGACACCACCAACTGCGACCTCAGTACACTACCTTGGATATCCGCGGCGGCGTACAGACGCAAACGCATCACTAACCCCTTTGTGGCGGCAACCATGAGGATCTGGCAGAGGCAGGGCACAAAACACTACTTGACGACGGATCCAGGCCCACTGCTGCCACTGAGAGGCAACCCGGACTTCCCAGCAGGCGACCTTGGCCCCACACCGGGCCCAGCAGGACACCCAACAATTCCTCGCATGACAGACGTCCTGGTGCACCCGTTCGGCATTCGGCCGTTAACAGAACTCTTCCCGGACAGATCACACACTTTTTCACACACACTAGCGAGAGGGCAAATCTCCCAATATGCACGTTCCATCCCGCAAAAACCATCCCTACTTAGGGAAACTACCCAATTTGAGAACCTGTGCACGCAGACCACAGAAACACCCTGAGCTATCTCACAGATATACACGATATTGGTCACTTGTAGGTATTTATTGGCACCGCCTTGCATAAGAAACTGGGAAGAAGACCTAGATGAGACCCTGTCGGAAGCGGACTGGGACAAGTGCATCACTCTCATACAAAAAACTCCCAGCTCAGCACGCCTGCAAGAAAACTCCTACAAGATATTCACCAGATGGTATCTGACGCCGACAGCACTGCACGTCAGGAACCCGGACATACCAGACACATGCTGGAGATGCGGGGAAGAAACAGGCACGTTTCTGCATATCTGGTGGGCATGTGCAAGACTCCGGCCCTTTTGGGACACAATTAGGGATATAATACACGAAGTAACAGACGAGACACTCCCGGGGTCCCCGGCCGCCTTTCTCCTCCACCACACCAACATGACCGCGCAGCCTTACACCAGATCAGTGATACCGCGGTTGCTGAACGCAGCCAAAACAGTCATCCCCATCTACTGGAAGCAGGCGACCGCACCCCCGATAACACGATGGCTAGAGGAGGTGGAAAGCACTAGGAAATTTGAAGATATAAAGGCAAACACGCCGAAACTTAGAGACCGATATACCAAACGCTGGTTTCACTGGCTACGATTAACCGCATCGAACGACTTTCAACGCCGCCTGGCCACACGGTAACCAAAAATGATGAGACGGAGGGGGCTGGGGCTGGGGACGGAGCGGGAGGCAGAGAAGGGTGGCGGACGGCGACGGCGGTAGGGGACGGACACACCCATCCCCCCAGCGCCCTCTCCCCCCCATGTCAATCCCCAGTTAAACCCAGAAACACACCTCGAAAGACAGACACAGTAGCAAAATGAAACCGAAAGGCCTTACCTAGCCACCCCCACATAGCGAGACTGCCCGACAACAATACCAGAAAGAAGCAACCATACCTAGTGCCACGAGAAACTCAACCCTCAACAGACCCATAGACAGTCAAGACGCAGTGGGGGGCAACACCGCAGACAGCACAGAAAGGGAAAACACACATAGGAGACACGGAACCAAGAGTTGGCCACGCCACGGACACACACCCAACCGAAGCCCTTAAAACCAGACATAACAGGGACGACGCATTAGAACACGAATAGGGACAAACGCAGGGCACACCTAGACGCACACGACCGGGAAACACCAAACTGCATAAAGCAACAGATATCCAGACGCGCAAGTAGCAAGCAAGCATAGGCGCCAGAACAAATAGAATAAGATTAGGCAGAAACACTCGCAACAATATACACAGGCGCAACAGTAATATAGCAACATTGCAAGCCATACAGATGCAAAACGCGAGTAACAAATTGTGAGTGTTTCTGCGGTATGGTGCACGCAATGACAACCCGGCCTCTATATAAGGCGACGGAATGCAATCAAATGTATGACATGCAACCAGGCACCCCTGCATGGGCAACCTCTGCCTCACTACTCATGAAGATGTTACCCACACGGGTGCTATGACAGCACTACAAATATTCAAAATAGTCCCACTAACACATAGACATTACACGAACCAGCCAATGCAAGACAACTACACGAATATACCCATCCACCTCCTTCGGTGTATCAATACACCAAGATGCATAGTAGCTGGCCATGTGCCACTAATCGACACCAACACAGCAGTACACATATGACAATAACTCTAACACACGACAACACCAAACTTGTTTAACGAAAGTGAAAAATCTAATCCTGCAGAACATAAGTATTCTTACATTCTGGTAGGGCATGGTTACTCTGAGTTATCCAAACACCGAAAGCAACGCCTCTGCGTAGGCGATGAACCGCTTAACCACAAATACGTTTGCAATGGAATCTATGTTATGAACCAATCAACATATTCAAAACAAAGGCAATACCAAATCCGCCTCTGCGTAGGCGACAAAATGCATGCATCATTATATATTGACGCTTAAGCCCCTGCGCGGGCATTTACCGGCTTTATCACGAATCAGTTTGCTATATGCGATTATATTGTGAGAACAATAAAAATATTCAAAACAAAAAAAACAATATTCCTAATGCGTCTATGTCCCTGTCCTTAGTTACCTTGGTTCCCTCCTGCACCCATGTGTATTTTATAATTTATAAAATAGATAATTTCCTTACCCTTTTCTAATGCCAATGGAGCCTGATCTCTCCACCTCCTGCAATGTCATGGGAAAGGCATGGCCACTTACACAGTTTGTCCAATCCAATGCTCCTCACAAAAGAGTATTTGGGATTGGATAAGCAAGTGGGGCGAGCCACTTGCATGCATTCAAGCTTCCACATAGGAAAGCAATGAATCAATGCTTTCTTGTGGTGGCTTCTGCATTACATGATCAAGTTTTAATCGGTCAGTACCACAGAAGCGCCTCTAGTGGTTGTCAGTATGACAGCGACTAGAGGTGGATTTAACTCTAAATAACTGCAATATTTTACATTGCAGGGTTAAAACTAAAGGACGACTGTTCCCAGGCCACTTTATTGAGATGAAGTGGTCTTGCTGACTTTAGAAACCTTTTAAAGATACATTTTCAGTTATAATTATTTTTCTTTCCATTCCATCAAATCATTTTGTTTTGAGATTTGTTTATTTTTTTTACTAAGAAACTCCTTCACGATTGTTTACTGTTAATCTTTAGCCTGATGTGTATTTGTTATCTATACTAGTTTAATCCGATGACTCTTACTTTGAGTATAACGGTATTAAGCAGGTAGTAAAAAAATAAATAAAAAAATGTAAAGGTTAACATTTATCTAATTCTTAAAGCAGTGCTTGATAACAATAGCAATCGAATTGCTATCATTCATAGCATATACAGGTAACTTACAGTATATATTACAGTAAATATCAGAACATAATCTGAAAGATATGACCTTTTTAACCATTATGATTCCATCCTGTGTTTCCTTGTTTGTGATTATATCGAAGAAATGTTCTGAATCTCCATCAATAATGCTGTATACAATCTCTGCATTTTTACCAATATCAGCATCGTTGGCTTTAATTCTGCCTATTTCGGTTCCAATAGTTGCAGATTCTAAAGAAGAAAACTGATAGACACCTGCAATACAAAATATTGCATTTATGAAATTTTGTAGGACTGCCCATAATCTATTTAACATGTGCATAATGTCGTAGGAGAAAATCACTTAGACAAACACATTTCTCTTTAAAGTGTAATTTTGGAAGAGTTCAGAATAACCAACAGTGACAACAATTATATCCAGTGTTAATTTCTATAAACATTAGTAATATAGTAAGGAATACTCTGTGCTGATATTAATTCTATCTACCCATTGGTATTTGTTAAACTGTAATGTATGGGCTCACAGTTCTCTTTCAGGATACACTATTTTTTGTAAGTTGCTTGAATTTGCATTGGAATCAATCAGTTGTTCAAAGTAAAAGTGCATAGAAAAAGTGGGATACAGCATTAGATGGGGAATGAAATGTTGCTATATTGTAATGTTTGTATGCACTTTTACTTTAAATAAATTTTTTAAACCTTACATTTTTTTCTGTCATCTGAATGCAGTACTTTATTTTTGTTCCCCATTTAACTATCAATTGGGAACAATAATCAAAAATAAGGAAACCAGAATCTTAAATATTGGGTCCTGTATTCCATCAGGTTTTTCATTATGTGTTGCTCTAATAAGCCAATCATGCTTTCATGAATATTTAATGTTGTGTGCCTCTCATATATGTTTTTAAATGCAGACACTCTGAAAAATAAATGTTGCTTTTTAGTTTCAAATGTAAGTTGTTTAAAAGTTATTGCTAATCAAAGACAGAAAGTGTTTAATTATTTATAAAGTTTTTGGAAGTAAATAGTAAATTAGTTTCAGTAATAATACATTTCACTTTACTTCAGTTTGTGAGCTGCAGTACATCTTTTGTTTTCTATTTAGAAACATTAAACATTTGTTTTGTTTACTTTGTGTGGTGGAACCAGTCTCACCACTGGGCATTGGAGAAGACTGTTTGCCAGCCTCCTGCCCTGCGACTATGGCCCTGAGATGTATTTCCCGTCTAGGAACTGATTTGGGCATAATAGATTTTTATTATGCTGCTGCTGGCCCTTTAAGAACCATCTGGGGACATACTGTGGAGTTACTTGGTGGCCACCATTTCATGTATCAGAGGCACATGGTGAGAACAATGGATGAAGCACTTGGTGAGAACAGTGGATGGCAGCCATTTTAACTCACAGACACTGTTTGGACCTTTCTACACGGTGCCATCTCGCCGGTATTTGGTGCACAAAGACATTGTGCAGTAGTTTTAAACTATACAACAGGGGACACATTATACAGTAATTATTTTTCATATAGCCTGTATATGTTCTGCGGAATCTGCATTAAACTGTATCTTCCAAACTACTGAATGGATCTGGGTGAATTTTGGATATGTGGTTCACCCAGATCCCCCGGTTCCGATGATATTTTTATGGGGTTATTGCATGTTTTGGGGTCCCTGTGATATGTTTGGATTGTATGCTGATTGCCATGAGTGTAAGCTGATTGTATGCTTTTCCTGTTCAGCTGCTTACAGCATTCATATGCTTGAGAGCATTCGTATGCTTCTCCAGGTCGGTGGTTGTGGTGTCTGCTGCAGTGCTTGGAGTCCTCAGGAAGCCCTAGGAGCATCCTTCAACGGAGGTACACAGCGGGGTGCCAGGTGGTCCGTTACACTTTGTTGTTTCAATTTTAATTTGAAACAAATATACAGGGCTATCTTATCAAACATACTCTCTAAGATGGTGTTTCATTCCCCGTGTGTTTTCCTCCTTTTTAAGAACCTTAGACTCAATCACATTTCACGGAAACTACTTGCAAGCCAAGTGAATGGGAAGTCACTGATTGGTTGAGAGCATCAGCTGACTGCTCTCAGAAAATCTATGGCGCCTCAGCACGTTGGCAATCCATGCTTCTTGAATCTGAAAGTTGGAAGCCAGAAGCTGCCAGGGGGTAGTGGAGACATGTGCTGGAGGCAACATTGGAATAATCCATTAACCCCTTAAGGATGGTGGGCATGCTATGCCACCCTTGGGGACCCAACTCTAAATGCCAGTGAGCGGCAAAGTACGTGGGGGGGGGACTTGCCTGACATCCCTGCTGCCGATCCAGCCCTCCTTGGCCATGTGATCGCGAGATCCTTGCAAGGACCTCATGATCACATGGACGGAATAGCCATCCATAGCAGTGCTAGCAGGGGGAGTGCCTGGAATGACAGGTAGTCACCCTGCTGCCTGTAATAAAGTAAAATAAAGTTAAAACCAGTGTAAAATAAAACAATATATACATATATATTATAAAATAAATATATAAATACGTTAAACATTTTCAATAATAAAATAATTAAAAATAAATAATTAAAAAATATATATGTGTAATTTCGTTCTAAGTGTATTTTGATATTAGTATATATATATATATATACATATATATATATATATATATATTGATATCAAAATACACTTAGAACGAACTAATATATATATCTGTATACATAAATATATATGCATATATCACTATATATATATATATATATATACCTATATATAAATAAAAATAATTTTAAAAAATTATATATATATATTAATTCTATGTATATATTTATGTAATATTTATACATAATTAAGACATTTTATTAATTACAATTTGCGGGACCTGCCTGATAACCCAGGCAGAAAGTCCAGATAATTTAATTTGCTAGCACTTTATTTAACCCTGTAACTTTCCAAGACACTATAAAACCTGTACATGGGGGTATTGTTTTACTCAGGAGACTTTGCTGAATACAAATATTAGTGTTTAAAACTGTAAAATGTATTACAACGATGATATCATCATTGAAAGTGACTTTTTTTTGGATTTTTCACACACAAACTGCATTTACACTGACAATATAATTGCTGTGATACGTTTTACGGTTTTGAAACATAAATATATTTTTTTTAGCGAAGTCTCCTGAGTATAACAGTACCCCTTATGTACAGGTTTTATGATGTTTGTAAAAGTTACAGAGTCAAATATAAGGCTTGTGTTTCAGTTTTTTCACATTGAAATTCGCCAGATTGGTTACGTTGCCTTTGAGACCATATGGTAGCCCAGAAATGAGAATTACCCACATGATGGCATACCACTTGCAAAAGTTGGCAACCCAAGGTATTGCAAATGGGGTATGTCCAGTCTTTTTTAGTAGCCACTTAGTCACAAACACTGGCCAAAATTGGCGTTCAGATTAGTTTTTTGCATTTTTCACACACATACAAATATTATGTGTGTGAAAATGTCATGCAGAACTAAAAAAATAGCAACATTTCTTAATATCACAATTTTTAAAAATATTTTATTCATATTAAATTATGTTTCATACCTAAATATTTTATTTTAAATGAAAGCCCTATTTATCCTGAATAAAATTATATATAATGAGTGTATGTGCACTTGGTATGAAAGAAGCAAAATACGGTTGAACATACATTTAGTCAAATTCCAAGTTTTGTTTCCATTTTATTTTGATGAAAACATGTACATTTTGCTCAATCCTTAAGGGGTTAAATAACATTTTAATACCAGAGGTAAGAATGCCTCCCGGGGCCTCCTGGCACCATAACTTTAGAGATAGTTGATTTGGTGTAAAGGACTGTTCCTTTACAAAAAAAAAATATATATATATACAGAGATCAAGGGGAATCGGAGTCTTGGAGTCTGCACTCTGTCAAGTAGGCTCTGTATAGGCTCTCAATAAAAATTTGGTGATTTTATTGTTGTCTAACAATCCATTTTATTGCCACATGAAAATTTGTTAAATTAACTCTATAGCAATAGGAATACAACATTGTATTCCTAATACTATAATGTTCCTCTCCCTATATCTGTAGATCCACCACCAGCCTTGGTATTGAATGGGTTAACACCCCTTCCAGTGCTGAGAATCCATCAGTGCTGAATGGGTCTCCTCCTCCAGAGATGCCATGTCAAAGAGGGAACCTAATGTGCGTGCGCAGCGAGTGCCATGCACATTAGTGTTTCCTATGCAATTGAATCAATGGTTTCCAATGGGGATTTTGAATGCAATGGACATTCCCATGCAAATTGTGAGTATGTCCAATGTCATTTTTACAGAGTTAAATTCTATTACAATCCAGGAAGCACATATAGTGCCTGTCTAGAACAGTGTTTCCCAATTAGTGTTACAATGAACCCTGGAGTTCTACAAGAACAAAACTGGTGTTCAACCACATTATTTCCACCAACAAGATGGCCACTACTCCCCGCTTTTCCCAGAAGTCAGAAACAGCAGAGATGGCGAGTCCATGATCTTATTCCTGGTGCTGTCAGCCATTTCAGACTCACTTGGTTGTGAGCATTGATACAAAACAATCATGTGTAGGTGACCTCTCATTCTCCCAGGCTCATTTATTTTTGTCATCCTGTGCTGGTTAGAAATGTACTGCTGAAAATATTTGTGTATCACACTTTTTCTTAATTTACTTGGGTTTGGGTATTTTTGTAAAACTTTTTTTTCAATAAATACATTTATTCATTAAAAAAATATAAAAGCAAAAAAGAAAATATTATGTTCTGAAATATTACAATCAGTTTACACTCTATAGAAATCAATGTATATATCCTCCCCAAAAAACAAACAAACAAAAAAAATACATTGTTTGTGCTCCAAAAGTACAAACACCTGTTTACTTTGAAATTATGTTTTGCAACAGTGCATTTTGCTCCAAATTTGACCCAAAAAGATTTACTTGCTTACTAAGAGTTGAGAACAAAACAGCATCCATTGTAGTCAGGTAGGGAAATCTGCATTTTTTCATATTAAAGAAATGTTCTTTTTACTCCAAGACTGAGACAAAATCCTGCTTGATTTACTTGCTTACTAAGCTGAAAACAAAACAGCATCTTTTGTAATCAGGTAGTGAAATCTGTATTTTTCCTGGTTAAAAAACAACAACTTAATTTTAAGGCTGAATCAGCAGCCATGAATTTGGACAGATGGTTAAAGGAACGAGCTATGAAGAGATTAATGATTACAACTTCTAATCGTTACGCATTTCTAAAAACTGAGAAAGAAGATACAACAAGAAATCAAGAAAACTGGTCCAAAATTGTTGAAACTACAGTTCCTCAAATAACAGAGACAAGTGACAAGTCGAAGAAATAAAGAAAAATACACAATGCTACTCAATCTTTTCTCGAAGAAACGAAAATATGATGACAACTACTTGTCATTTGGATTCACAAATTCCAGCAATGAAGATTGTCCTGAAGCACAATGCTTACTTTGCAAGAAAATATTATCAAACAGTTTGTTAGCACCTGCTAAATAACATCTTCATATTTTAGCAAAATCACGCAGAGTACAAAGATAAAGACATTGCCTATTTTAAGCAAAAAATTCCAGATTATCAGAAGAATAAACAGCTTATGAACAAAAAAATCTAAATGAAAAAGTCACTGGGGCTTCTTACAGAGTAGGTTATCACACAGCACTTGCTGGAGAAGCAAACTAAATTAAATAGTTACATAGTTACATAGCTGAAAAGAGACTTGCGTCCATCAAGTTCAGCCTTCCTCACATTTGTTTTTTGCTTTTGATCCAAAAGAAGGCAAAAAAAACCAGTTTGAAGCACAATTTTGCAACAAGCTAGGAAAAAAAATTCCTTCTTGACCCCAGAATGGCAGTCAGATTTATCCTCGGATCAAGCAGTTATTACCCTACATTGAAAGATTATATCCTTGAATATTCTGTTTTTGCAAGTATGCATCTACTAGCTGTTTGAACATCTGTATGGACTCTGATAAAACCACTTCTTCAGGCAGAGAATTCCACATCCTTATTGTTCTTACAGTAAAAAAAACCTTTCCTTTGCCTTAGATGAAATCTTCTTTCTTCCAGTCTAAACGCATGGCCACGTGTCCTATGTAAAGTCTGGTTTGTAAATAGATTTCCACACAATGGTTTGTATCGGCCCCGAATATATTTGTATAATGTTATCATATCTCCTTTCAGGCGACATTTTTCTAAACTAAATAGGTTTACATTTGTTAACCTTTCTTCATAGCTGATATGTTCCATTCCTTTTATTAATTTTGTAGCTGCCTCTGCACTTTTTCTAGTGCCATAATATCCTTTTTTAGAACAGGTGCCCAAAATTGCACAGCATATTCAATATGTGGTCTTACCAGTGATTTATAAAGAGGCAAAATGATATTCTTGTCCCGAGAATGAATGCCCCTTTTCATGCATGACAATACATTACTGGCCTTGGTCACTGCTGATTGATATTGCACATTGTTGTATAGTTTGTTGTCTATAACAATTCCCAAGTCCTTTTCGTGTGTTGTTATCCCTAATTCGCTTCCATTAATGGTATACGTTGCTTGTGTATTCTTTACGTAGAAGTGCATAACTTTGCATTTTTCAGCATTAAATTCCATCTGCCATTCGAGTGTCCAGTCCCCCAGCTATCTAAATCCCTCTGCAGCAAAGTAATATTTTGCTCACATTGTATTATTTTACAGAGTTTTGTGTCATCTGCAAACACTGAAACATGACTTTCAATGATGTCTTCAAGATCATTTATAAACATGCTAAATAGAAGGGGTCCCAGAACAGACCCCTCAGGGACACCACTTGCCACCTCTGTCTAGCTTGAAAATTTACAATTAATGACAACTCATTGTACTCTGTTTTTAAGCCAATGTTCTACCCAAGAACAAGCATTTTCATCTAGACCGATTTCCTTGAGTTTGAACACTAATCTATTGTGTGGAACTGTATCAAATGCCTTGGCAAAATCCAAATAGATCACATCCACGCAACACCCTGATCTATACTTCTACTTACTTCTTCGTAGAACGCAATCAAGTTAGTTTGACATGACCTGTGCTTCATAAAACCGTGCTGATTTTTGCTGATAACCATGTTCTTCTCAAGGAATTCTTGAATATTATCCCCTAATAACCTTTCAAATATTTTCCCAGCCACAGAAGTTAAGCTCAGAGGTCTATAATTTCCAGGCAAGGATTTTGAACCCTTTTTGAATATAGGAACCACATCTGCCTTCCTCCAATCCTCCGGAACACTTCCTGAAAGAAAAGAATCTTGAAAGATTAAAAACAGAGGTTCACTTATTTTACAGTTCCTTAAGTACACGTGGATGGATACCGTCAGGCCCTGGAGCTTTGTTTATATTAACTTTCTTTAGTTGCTGCAGCAACTTGTCTTGAGTTAACCAATTACAATTATTCTGCAAGTTTTTAGTAGCAATCATTTGCATTTTGAAGTTTAGCAAGTCTAATTGCCTTTTTGCACACATTATTTGCTTCCTTATATCTTTTATAAGATGCATCTGATTTGTCAGATTTAAATGATTTAAATGCCCTTTTCTTATTTTTAATCTCTCGTTTTACTTCTCTACTAAGTTACATTGGTTTTAATTTGTTTCTTTTATATTTATTTCCCAATCGTACATACTGAGAAATGTACCTTTCTAATATTTGTTGGAAGATGATCCATTTATCCTCAGTGTTCTTTTCACTAAAGAGTTTATTCCAGTCAATATATTGTAAAGCTGCCCTTAACTTATTGAAATTGGCCTTTTTAAAATGATATGTTTTAGTATACCCCATGTGCTTTTGAGTTTATTTCAAAGGACACTATACTGTGATCACCCATTCCCCAGTGCTCACCTACTTGAATTTGGGTCAAAAGATCAACGTTGTTTGTTAAAACCAGGTCCAGACAAGCGTCCATTCTAGTTGGTGCTTGTACAAGTTGTGACATGAAGGTGTCATTTAACAAGTTTAAAAACCTAATTCCCTTTGCTGAGCTACTAGTCCCTCTGTCCCAATTTATGTCCGGGTAATTAAAATCTCCAATAATTAAAGTGTTACCCAGATTTGCAGCTTTCTCAATTTGCTCAAACAGCTGTTGTTCCTCGTCAATATTAACATTAGGTGGTTTATAACATATCCCAACCAATAGTTGGTTTCCCTTCTTTTCCCCCAAGCAGATATTTACCCATAAAGCTTCCACATTTTCCTCATCACATTCCACTTGCTTAAGATTTGGCTTTAAATCATGGTTGACATACAAACATACCCCACCACATGTTTTTCCTATCCTTCCTAAATAACATGTACCCATTTAAGTTAACTGCCCAGTTATGTGTCTCATCCAGGTGGTGCACCCCTGTGGGGCATAGTGGTGGAGTAGTTGAGTGATGGTTGTTGCGGATGGTTATGGGGGTTCAACTCTTTGCAGTCAGTGCTATGTTGGGTGGTGATGCAATTTTTGCTTTTTTAAGATATCATTTTGACAAACAGATTTAAGAATTATACGTGAAACTTTCCAAACTCATACCACTGGTGAGAACATTTTTTTTTACATTCTTTATTTTAGTAGTGCATAGGTAGACATACAAAGCTTGCATATATATTTTTGCATGGGCATGTAGTCCTCATAGGAATAAAATAACTCAAGAGATCTGCATAACAATTTTTCTGACTACATACAAGAAACATATTTGAATAAAACCACCAAGATACTCAGTAATTGGGCACAGATCGCTTGCCATGACAGATGTGATAAATTAAAGAGCACAGGAGAACAGAGCTTATGGAACAACTATGGAATAGAATATTATACATTAGTAAGCATTGCACTACCCTATCAAGTGACCCCATGAGTGCACCCTACTCAACCTATGCCCATAGTGTCCAGGCAGAGTCCTTGGCTTTGCCTTTAAACTGTGCTTCATGAGTATTGTAAATTGCTTCTTCCACTTCTGAAGGTTCCTCAAAAACTGTTGGTCAATAGCATTGAATGCCCTAGGAATGGCTGCTTCCCATACTCTGGCTGAAGATTGTATACCATACTTTACAGCTCTGCTGCCATCAACTAGCTATTTAAGGACAGCGAGTGAGCCTTTTTTGCAGGATTCACCTAGGTTCAATATGATAGGTCACTGCAGCAAGATGTGGAATCAAGTAAATATCGGGACCTGTAGAAGTAATGTACTTACAATTGATTAAGCATACAGATGACTCAATGCATAAGGCATAGGTGGATGAAATGTGTGTGGTGAAATGCTTTGTGGATGAATTTTACATTGTTTTAATAAAGGAATATTGACTACTTTATTACAGACCCTGAGGAGTCAGGCAAGGCTTAGACAGAACATGGACATGTGAGTGTGAGGGGGAGTGTATAGATAGAATGGTAAGGAGGTCTTTAGAATGGTGGGAGGAGGATTATGAGCAAAGGGGTGGGATAGTGTAAATAGGTGGGCATTTTACAGGATAAGCAGCCATCTTAATTATAAGTTGGTAACAGCTTGCTAATTGCATGGTAGTTGCTTCCTTGTGTACCTGCTTGCCAAATGCTGTTTTCTGCAAGAGTCTGAGTATGGACATCGAGACTGTCCTATCTGCCCTCAGGACTGAGGACTTACAATATGGAGTCTACACCTGCAGGCTCAGCTCGCTCATCTGCAGGCATCTGCGGTGATTTCTGCATCCCCGCCTGGCAGTCACGGAGGTTCCGGGAGGCGAGCTTGGCCACCTGCACGTTTCACCCCTCCTGGGGAGGCTGCAGTTTCTCTGCTGCAGCTCATGTTAGTTTGCAGTCTTCCTCTTCAGTTCCTTACAGCAGGAGCCGCAGTCCCACCTTGTTGGCCAGCTGGTTCCTGGCTACGCTGGCAGATGCCACTCCTGCACAGGCTGAATCTCCTTCCGGGGTCGCTAAGTGTTTTCCGGCAGCCCGATCATCTCATGTGGACCCGCCACATGCAAACCACGGCGGATGAGAAGGCCACAGGTTATTTACTGGGGGGCAGAGGTTTCCCTTCCCAAGGTAGGAGGGCAGGCTGGGAGTAGTGTGAGGCAGCTGTCTCCTTCCCTTTCCCCTAGTAACTATGTTAGCCCCCTTCCTTCCCTGGGTGCTTCAGCTGGGCCTACTGGACATAACCTACCTTGTCCAAGTATAAGGTTAAGTTCCAGTTTTGGAAGATACCCAAAACATTTGGTAATTGGCTTAGGGCCTTCTCGATCCTGGCAAGGCACCGGATAAGTGTTTGGCCCTATTCTGTTACCAGGATATGATGTGGAATGCATGTCGGGTATATGGAGGGTTGAGCTGGTGCCCAAGAAAGAGCCAGGCAAGTTCCAGCTGATTTATCATTTATCCTACCCATTTGGGGGATCGGTGAATGATGATATTGATGCTGAGCTGTGCAGGATATCGTACACGTCTTTCGACGAGGTGGTTTGGATGGTCTGGGCTGCAGGTTCGGGGGCACCTATGGCTAAAGCAGATGTCGAAGCGCCTTTTTCGGCTGCTTCTGGTGCACCTGTACTGCCACAATTTGTTTGGCTGTTTGTTTTTTCGCCGCTTGGGCAAGTTGCAATTACCTTGCCGAATTATTCCCATGGAAAGGGTGTTTACTCGTTGCTTGGCAGCAGCAACCTCTGGGGTAGAGCGCCCTCATCATTATGTGCGGATCACTAGCCACCTGTGCGAGGACCTGGCAGTTTGGTCCATCTTTTTTAATGGGTGTTCCTATTGGCAGGCTTGCAAGGTCTCCAATGCCAAGCTCCATCTCTTTACTGACATAGGCTGGGGGGGTGGGTTTTGGGGCCATCTTTGCGGCCCACTGGTGATCGGACTTCTGTCTGAAGTCTTGGTATGTGGTGGGGTGAACGAGGAATTTGGCCTACTTGGAACTTTTCTCTATAGTGGTTGCGGTGGAGTTCTGGGGGGATCTCCAAGGGGATCAGAGGGTGGCTTTCCACTGTGATAGTATGGGGGTGGTGCTGGCCGTTAACAATTTTTTGGCATCTTTCCCTCCAGTGGTTTGGCTGCTGTGGTGCATAGTTCTTCGCTGCTTGATCTTGAATGTGTACTGTTCCTGGGGTTGCTAATATTACAGCGGACAGTGTTTCTCGTTTTCAGTGGCAGGAGTTCAGGGCGGCAGTGCCGGGGGCAAACAAGTTGTGATTTCCATGCCAGAGGGATCTCTGGGGCCTTGGGCTAACTGAACAATGTCCTGGATCTGGGGTTCGGTCTCGGAATCTACATGGCAGCGTTATGGTAAGGCATGGTGTGAGTGGGTACAGTTCAAGAGGCAGCTTGGGGGTTTCTGGTTGGATGGAGAGTGCTTACAAAGGTCTGTTACAGTTAATCTGGTTCTGGAAGGCGTCAGGATGTTTCTCGTAGGCTTTTTCGGGTAAGTTGTCCGGGCTCAGTTTTTGGTTCAAACTCACCAGGCCCCCAGATATCATGAAGGATGTTTTAGCCTCATTGGTGTTGAGGGGTTGGCATGGGGGGGCCTAAGATTTTGGATTCTCAGTGGTCAGTTTCAGGTGCTCTGATGGTGGGCCTGTTTAGAGTTCTGCCACAGGTTTGTTCTACTCTGTTTAAAGTAGCGTGGTTTCGTTTGGCATTTATGTTCACCTTTTTCGGGTCCATGTGGGTGAGGGAACTCGTTAGCCCATCTAAGGCGGTCCCTGGGAGATTTCTGTTTGGGATGTTTTAGTGAGGTTGAGGCGGTGCGTTTTTTGCTGTGTAAGTCCAAGACGGATGTTCTTGACCGGGGTACTTCGGTCACGTTACAACATCCGGTTGCCTGTTCTCATGTTTTCTGTGAGGTTCGCCAAGTGGGCGTGGGCCCCTCCCTGGCTCACGGGGACTCCAGGCTCTTATCTCATTTCCAATTTATTAGGTTTTTTTTTCATGGCATTGGAGGCCTTGGGGTTACCTAGTGCAGAGTTTGGGAGGCACTCCTTTTGGATATAGGCTGCCACTAAGGTAGGTGCCGGAAGACGAGTGTGGGTCATCAGCCATTCCTACATTTATTGGGCACAACACTGGCTGTGGCAGAGGTCTGTTGGTTCAGTACTAGGGGCATGCGCTGGGAGCACCTGTTGGCTTGCTTACTCGGCATTCCTGATGTGCTCATAATTCATTTGGGGGGAAACAATCTTGGCACTATTCCGGTGTGGGATCTGGCTGAAATGATACACAAGGATTTGTCCGAGTTATGGCACTTTGTATCATCTGGTCCGAGGTGCTGTCCCGGAATTATTGGAGGGGTGCTAATCCTTTGTTAATCTGACCCTGTATGGATGTATTGATCACTTTGTGCTGTATATATTTCCTGAAACATTTAATAACCATATAATTTAGGTTTGTTTATCTCCTCCATGGTATATGCTATTTGCTATTCAAAATGCAAACCTAGGCCTTCATGATTAATCTCCTTGGTACCACTGCCACCTTACAGAGATGGACCATTAGGACGTTTTCATTGCCACTCTATCTAGAGGCACAGATGATATGGAGGTTGAGAATGTTTAGAAAAGACAGTCTGGTGCAGTAAATGTCAGGGTCTCAAATTTGTTCTGACAGTGTGCCCCAGATGTCAGCATGATGGTTTGAACCATACATCACAAGCAGCAGGAGGTCTGAGCTGAAACATTGATCCATATTTATATGAATTATGCCAGAATTGCTTGGAACACTACAAAAACATGGAAAAATATTTATGAAAAACCAATTACTGCTACACTTAAAATATATAATTCATGAAACCCTGGTCTTACAGTGTTGCAAATTATGTAAGAGGCTTTAATAAATACAATAGCAGCAGTAAAAATAAATGAACACAAAATATCCCAATACACATAATATAGCAATAATAATAATTATAATAATAATAATAACAATAATATAAAATAGTTGCTTGACAAATAATTTTGCTGTGCTCCCTTGTATTCATCTAGGCTTGTGTACATGTGTGAATTTGTGTATAATAAAATAATTATGAATATATGTACAGACAGTCCTCAGTTTAATATTCTTGGATAAGAAAAAGTCAGCACCAACAAGGATGTGTGTGATTTGTTACTGATTTGTTACTCAAAGCAAGATGACAGTGGAAATAAAATCAGAAAGGAAACCAGGTTCCATTGTCCTAAATCACAGGCTTTGTGCAGTCCCATGTTGTAAAATTTTTCATACCCTGGATATTTACTAAACCAATATGCAGTGTCTAGTATTACAGTGACAAGTAATATTGCACCCTTGTTTGGACAAATTTCAGTGTTTTTGGTTTGATTACATTATTAATTCAATTTATTATTATATCTTTTTTTTATAATTATGTATTATATTATAATTTATGATTTTATGTTTCAAACTTTATCATACCCAGGATGTCTACTAGACTCTTGTTTGGACAGATTTAAGTGAGTTGTTCCTCACAATCCTACAATATGAAACATAAACATAATAATAAAACAACAAATTTACATACAAAACAATGTACCGCTTTAACAAAAATACTGACTTAATCAGACCGCCAAGGAGGTTAAATGCTAATGACTAAACATGATTAGACAAACATGCCTGATATTAAGTTTGTACTCAAAGGACTAGAGCCTTTTTTTTTTTAATACATTTTAATATATTTTAATTCAGCCATGAATCTCCTCTTTCATATTTTGTACTGGCACACACTGTGTATTATTTTAATGGACATGCAGGAATTTCTTTTAAACTTAAACATTCGGTTTTATCCTCATTGCGATTTTGCAGAATTTATGTCAATTGCGAATTTTGACTCCACAGCACCATTCCAATGTAAAAACAAACAAGTCAATTTTCACACATGGTGCCAAAAAAGGTGTTCAGAGTGGAGAGGAGCTGATATTTTTAAGAGTAGGCTAATAAGCAGCTTAGATTGCCATGAGGGATAAGAAGTCTGCCTAATGATGTGGGTTATATCCTCTGTCCAATCATGTGGTGGAAAAATAAATGATTGATGGTTAAGGAGCAGCCACTAAAATTAGTTTTTATTTATGTGTAAGCGAGAAGTAACCCATGCAGGGAAAAAGGGAGGAGGAGTCAAAAACATATATATTTCCAAACAAGATTTTCTCAGACACTTTTTCTGAGCTACTGAGGGATCAGAAGTGATGCTGTGTGTTTTATTACTGATGTGATAGTGGGAGCAGACCTGTCTTAACAAATGGGCATGCTGGGCAGTTGCATGTAGGCTCCATGAACATAAAGACCCAATAGGCTTGCCAACTTTTTAGTATATTATACAAACACAGTAGGTGGAGCAAGTATACTTTCCTCTCTTATCAGCAAATTCAGCAATGCTGTGGAGACAGAGAGGTATACAAATAGTGCAGATAACTCAAAAAATAGCAATGGAGAGATAACATATGTTAGAATACACTCACAAAACTAGAGCCAATTATAGACCTGGCTCTGGTGTGGATGGCCTTAGGATCTTTCAAGGGTGATCCAAATCCCTCTATGGATGGTCTGGATATCCGGTGTGTAATATGGTAAATTCCTCCCAATGATCAACAGCAGGGAATCCAGATGGTTGTAAAAGAAAAATTTATTTATTGAATACAGATAAAATAAAAAATTTAAATAACATCTGTTAAATAGGTAAAATGCTGCCAAAACGCATTTCGCCTGACGTGGTTTCCTCAGTTGGCATGATTACTGTTTGTAAGTCTATACAGTTCTTTAAATACTATGTGTGGTCCAGATTTGCTGACTTTTTTCAAATGGAACGCAACTTGCGTTCCATTCCTCTATCAGCGTTTCACTTCCTGGTTCCGGTCTGCTGGAAAGCATATTGCTTCCTGATTTCGATCTTCGACGTACATGTAACGCATCGTGCATTCCATTAGAGTAGTGGCGCATCTCTCTTCTCATCATAAAAGCACTCTGTATGTGTGGAACGAACTTTGCGTTCCACCGAATTTAAAATCCTTTGTCATAAAAGTCTCTTACTTTATATAATAAAAAACAGTCTTTTTGGACCCTCTATATCTATATATTGTTTTGTCCAACAAATTAGTGCATATTTTCAATAGAAAACATACATTAATATTAGCTGATATAATTAGAAGGACAAATAAATGAAGAAAAAGTTAATTACATCCATAATACCATCATTTTACATCATAAAATAGTAATATAACTACATGTTGTAGTTATTTATGTATAATTGCAAAATGTCAATCTTTAAAGTGTTATGTGCAATTTAGTAGTGAATCCATATATATGTTTTTGTGTGAACTCCCAATAT